GTCAATGTACATACATACATATGCTGGTAATTGTTCACGCTTTCCGCTATGATAAAATATATTGGTTAACAAACTTTCTATCGCTTGAAGTCTGCAGATGACATCAGTTATTATTGCAAATTATTTGTTGATTGCAAAAAAAGAAGCAACAAAGACAAAAACAAAAAACTCCAAACCAAATCGAACACAAAAACGTGGAAGGCATTTCAACAAACTGAAAATGAATACAAATACAATTCCACAAAAAATAAAAAAAAAGAAGCCAAGCGACAGACAAGAGACACTGACATATCTATGTCAGTTTCCATTTGCAGTCAGCAGTGTCAACTAAACTAAATCAATCTTAATTAAATTAAAAAAGCCCAAAACAGAAATTTCAGCTTAACTTTTGGCAAAAATCAGCCACAGAACAAAGACAAAGCAGAATTAAATGGAATTCAAGCTGCAATTGAAACCAAAAAGTAATAAAACTAGGCTCGACTTATATGCAATATTCATAGGGCAGATAAATATACTCGCAGCTTGACATAAATCGGGCGTTCCGCCTTAGCCATGTCGGTCACGTCGGACCGGGATACTTTGCGTGCCAGTTTTTAAAAGTTTCCGATAATGCTAATAAATAATAAATACTCGTACGAGCAAAAACTACGAGTATTCCATTGTCACTCTCCAGCTGCCTGGTTGGCTGACTGACTGATTTAGATTGTAATGGCCCATCTGCATATATGGCCTAAATGGTCTCCAGTGGGGGGCATATGACCCACTTCCCTCGGCTTAATGTGCCAGCAGCCCACACTTGAGTTTCCTCTTTTTCTGCCTCTCTGTCTGCCATGGAATTTCCTTGACATTGAACCACATTTAGTGGCAAAGCAAAGCCCGAACACAATGCTTATTTTATAGAATGAATTCCAAAGTCAAATATCCAACCAGTTTGTGCGAAACGCAATTTATATATAGAGGAATTTCATTGTCTGGCTCGAAACCAGTTTTCAAAACATTTACTGTGTTCCAGCCGGAATCGCAAAGTCACTCTCCTGTTAGGATGAGTTCTTCGATCAGCAAATTTGTCATTGACGGATAGCTGTTTCCTAATTTTATTTCATTTTCGAATTAAAGTACGAATTTACAAGTAATGCGCGATTTTGTTTGCCCTTAAGCGGCAACGGCTGAAAGCTAGCAGTCGAGTGCAAAATAAAGCTTTTGCTTAAGCTTTGAAACTACGCTACGGACAGTGTTGCTGTGCTGCAAGTTTGCTGCTATTTTTTTGATGAAAAACTACTACGTTTTTGATTCAAGCGATTTATTTAAACAACTAAACTAATGTTTTTTTAAGTAATGACCAATGTTTGTATTTTTTTGCCGTTCTGCTGATCTACAGTCCTCTACTTTCTTCTTTTGACTGGAAAAAAATACTCCAAGCTCGTAGTGATTCATGACATACCCCTAAAAGATTTTAATTGATTTCAATCTACTATAAATGATCTAATTCAATTTCGCTCAACATTCAATTCGCTGTGGGCCACTCACAAATCGATTCGCTAATCGTTTGGCTTCACCTCCGACCCCAAATCGAGCTTCGAACCTACTCCGAATCCGATTGGAAATTACCTACCTCAATTAACGACACCATTCTCCTCGCACTTTGGCCAGCACGAAAAATGCCAAATGAAAGACTGAGGAACGGAAGAAGGCCCCCCGAATGGAATCGGAGCCAGACACAAAAGTGTTTCACACTTTCTAAAAAGCAATCAACAGAAGAAACAGCAGCAGCACCAGCCACAGCAAACAACAAACAAATCAACTTCAATTTGTTGCAACAACAGCAGCAACAACATCGATCTCATTGAGTTCCAAACAGAACAGAACCGAAGACAGAACCAACAAAAAACGAAAACAGAAAACAGAAAATTGTGCAATCTGCAAAATGCGCTCGAAGGAAACAAACAACAAAATCAACAAAATACAGTATTTGTTACAGGGGAGCGCCAATGAACTGAAATGATTTCATTACAGCTGAGGAGGGAGCGACGGATGGGAGTGGAGTGGCGACGACTGGAAGAAATAGAACTTAATTAGTGGAAAATACGACGCACCGATGTTGTTGATACATATGTGAAGAGAGAGAGGATGGGGAGAAGCTATAAGAGCTGTAGAGAGGGGCCATCTAAATGTCACCCATAGTACCATTCGGAAGTCTAATTCGATTCTGATACACTAGCGCAATATATTTAGAAGATTCCATCATAAGAAAGGAAGTGCTCTCACAGAGAAGACAGAAGTGGGAACTTCTAGAGTTCACCTGAGGTTAATTCTGAATGGATAAGGTATTGGGTTGCTCTATAATTTTATCTTTAAATATATTAGCTTGGAGTATATAATACAACGTATAATATAAACTACATGGTTCGAAGTACAAAAGAATTCTTAAATCAGAATGCTTTTCAGTACAATATCATATTAAAGAATTATAGGTTTGTTGGACTTCCTGTCAGGTTTCTTTCATTTGTCCTTCTAATTTCTTTCAGTGCATAGGAAATATTAAATTTTAAGTTCACTTTTTTTTGCCTTGTTTTTGTGCTTGTGTCATGTCGCCGCCTTGCCCCCAAAACGCCATCCATACAACACATCATCTAGATTCGAGAACTTTGACTATTTATACGCACGCGCCCCTTTTTTTGTCCCGAGGGCTCTGCCGTGAAAAGCGTGAAAATCGGTAGAGCGAGATAGATGCATCATGCACATGTATGTACATATGTATGAACCATATGTATATGCAACTGCAACATATCTTCTATTTTCGGCTGCGCTCTCAGAGCGTGACAATTATAAGAGATTATCAGGATGTTGAGGGCAAGTCAGAGTCGAGACGCGTGGGCGACCACAAACGATGCCGCCCACAACCCCGGGGCGCCTCTCCCTACCGCCTTGTACCCCGCGTCCTCTTTCCCACCAGAGCAGGAGAAGTTGTTGGTTCGATAAAATAGATATAAATAACCGAGTATGTCCCGGCCCCAAGTTCATTACTCCCTCCCCCATGCCTCTCGCTTTTGGCACGTGCAATAATGGTTGCTTTTCCGTATTTTATTTTTTTTTTGTGGATTCTCCTGCATTCAAGGCGTCTTGCATAAGAGAGATCGATGGATGGATGGGTGACGTCATCTGCAGTCAGAGTCTGAACGGATGCTGCTCGCTATTGTGATTTATAGCAGCGACAAATGGGGATCGTATGGTCCGACCAGAAAAGATCGCTCCTCAAAAGTGCATTCGCATTTCAATTAAAGACAGAAGCACAGCCACACAGCAAGATACGAAAAAGAGCAGACGAAAAATACTCAGAAAAGGAAAGATAAATAAAAGGAGAAAAACGAATGTGGAATACACTGCACAATAAAGAAAGAGATCAAGAAAGACAGAAAATCAAATTTTTACTTAGGTTTTACTTAGGCTCAACGAGATATCCACCGACTGAAAATGACTGTATCTTTTTTATATATCTGCGGAAAATTTCATGAGCTACCTAATAGACTCTCTAAAAAGTTCTGTCCTCATCAGTTCAGCCAAATGTGTCGCCTCCAACTCCCCTCCCAGCTGTTTATTTATGTGAACCGCCTGCAACACCAAATGTTGCTGAGCTCGCCAAATGTTGCTGCTGCCGTTGTCACATGCAACTCCGATGGCGGTTACCTTTTTTGGCGCACTTATGCAACTTATTCAAGTAAGTTGATGTTTCTTTGGAGTGCCATAAGTGGACATAATTACATATTATTGTACATATGTACTACACCCAGTACCAATCGTGGACCCAATTCCCACTGTCCAGGAAACGATCCACTTTGATGTCTAGTCTTTAGGCTGATTGACTGATGGCCCGAAAGGAAGTCGCGCCAAAGACTACTTCAATTTAGAAATTCGAATATATTCAAATGGGGGGAATTGGCAGTCATTCTGCCCGACTTCAGAGTGGAATGAATGACGGTCTAAGCAGCCAAGGGTTCAGCAACATTTGGCGGCGGAACGGGCGGCAGTGTCGGCAGCGGCGACGGCTTTAAATAAATCAGCCGTAAAGACAAGACAAACAAGAAAGGAAGTCCAAAGATGAATACCGAAGCTGTTGATACTCTTACACATATAAACTCCCAATGTCAGCTATAAGATATATGTAGTTATCCCTATATTTTTGGCTCCGATTTTAGCAAAAGGTGTTAAACCTTCAAACAGACAAATGGGAATGGCTGTATTGACATGATCTGCTATATTGATCAAGATATACCATAATTTATGATTTCATCTCTTTGTGGCAAATATCTGCTCAAAACCACAATACCCTCACCAAGCGAATATCAAGAGAAGGGGAAACAGACAACCCAGAGCAGAAAAGGAGGGAATAAGTTGGAAAAGAATGGTGGCCTTTGTTGCTGGTAGCAGCTACACCCACACCCACCCACCCACACCGCAGCTAAAGCCAAAACTGGAGTGCAACTATTTTTAATTCCATGCAAAATGTGCACGGCAACATGTTGCCGACACGTCGCACAGTGGATATCAGGTGGCCAAAGTCAAAAATCCTATGAGCGGTTTGGATAATAAGAATAATATTCAGATAAGTCTTTCAGAGATTTTAAAAATGCAAATTTCCATGAAATTTAATTTAGGTAATATACACAATTAAAGTTCACCAACCTACGATTTGTGTTTTAGAGCGACATATGTACGTATTTATGTGTCCTAACCACGAACGAAAAACATCCAAAATAGCCCCGCCCTAGTTATAAGAATAAGTATCGTCCACAGTATGATTTTTGAAAGCCAAAAGGTCCAAAGGCCCACTGTGCGGGCAGCTTGTTGCTAGCGAGAGCTTAATGTTGCTGGCGGGCTGGCGGCGATGTTGCTGCCGCTCAAAATTGAACCAGACGCCGGCGCAAGAAGAAGTCCAATTGGAAAGAGCGGAACGGTGCGGAGCGCGGAAAATGTGAAATGTGTTTAAAAATAACGAAATATCGGGAAAGTGAATAATCATCAGAGAGGCGCGTACTCCAAATTTTGAGCAAGATGAGCAAGAAAATGTGGAACAAGATCTTTAAATCAAAGTCGCAGAAGCCTCAGCCACTGGCCAAAATCAATAAGCGGCACAGTAGGGGCATCTACGAGGAGTACCAGCAACTCAACGATTTGCTGGTCAGCGAAAAAGCTCAGCTGAATTTCTGCAATCAAAGGGAAAACGAAAACGAAAATGGAAATGGCTGTGGAAATGGCAGCATTAACGTATTTGAACAGCAGCCGCTGAAGAGTTCTTTCAACTCGCTGCAGCTTATTGAGGCGCAACAATCACTGCCGCAACAGCAGCAGCAGCATCAGCAGCCGCAGCAACAGCTGTCCACATTTTCGCGCGTTCGCAATACGTTTTCCCTAAAACGCAACAGCAACGGCAGCAGCAGCAGCAGCAACAATAAAGGCAAGAAAAATCTGCCCAATGCCAAGTCAAGTGAGTCGGACACGCCTCCAGGTGTGGGCGCAGCAACGCCCACTGAACCTGCAACAACAACAGCAGCAGCAGAAACTAACAATAACAATCAACTGCAACGCATTCTGATTGTTGTCAATAAGATCGACGTGTTGTCCACTAACCAACCAACTAACAATCATTTGCATGCCAAACCATCAGAAACAGCAACAGCCCCAGCAATTAAGCCAAGTAATTTTCAATGCAAATTAACAACAAATACACAAATGCTAAATGAACCGTTTTAGTTTCTACAAAATTGACCAAGTGAAAGCGCTAAATGGGGGGGAAAATGTAAATGCTGGAACAGCTGCTTAATCTGCTTCGAAGAATCCAATGCCAAGACGACCTTTTCATTGACTCCTTCTAGTACTCGTATTCTTATCAATTCCGAATGATGTCACCTCCCGTTTGACCAAATACTCGTAATGAAAGCGAAATTGAAAATCTGAATGATTTACTGAGAACTGAGGAACGGGGACGGGCCCTTTCATTAGGTTCCCACTGTTTTGGTTCATGGGAAGCATCGCCAAGTGTCAAACAGTTGGAAGTTCAAAGTGTGGCCAAGAACTGGAATGAGAAAACCGTTTGTATTATGCTTTACCATATTGCACATCAGAAAACAACACATTTATGGGCCCACTGAAGTCTTAAGTGGCTTATAGAGCTTGCCCAACAGCGGACCGACAACATGGGCAACGAAAAGACCCATGAAAGACTATGGAAAATGCTTGCGACCGACTAGACGCGGACTAGTGGATGGAATGGATGTGGATAGGGAATCGTTTGATTGTGAAAGAAGGGAACAGACACATTCGTAGATGTATATATGTATGTAGTCTATTGAAAATTGCATTCATCACTCAGTTGTAGGGCTTTCAACTTTTGATCTAGTAAACTCTTGACCATCTGCATATCACTTGGCCGAATCACTGCCATCCATTCTCTATTCTCTCCATGCAGCCAGATCTGCTCAGGCTCCCATTGGACAGGGATGCTGTTATTATTATAGATCTCAAGTGGGAAGAGTGGATTCATATGCATATGCATATAATGCAGCAGTGGATTTGATTCTGTTGCATTCTGCGGGCGTCATTACCACCGACACGGGCCAGAGCAGTCGTGTGCAACGGCTCTTCGCCGGTGCCCATCCACTCACCCACTTCTCATTGAGTTGTTGGTTTGGGAAAAGAATGCGTAACATAACACTTTGCATTGATTTGAATTGAAACGAGAGAAGCTGTCCCCGCGAAGGGGGAGGAGGGAGGACTCCCAAGATGTTGCGGAAATTTCTGCTCCCCTTGTCTCATGCGTGCCGTTGATTGATGTAATCTTTGCTGGCAGCCAGTCGTGGGTGCTCCACTGGCCTCGCATTGTAATTGGATTGCCGCTGTCTGGCAGTAGCTGCCATCATTGATGGTCTTTTTTGCTTACCCCATAATATGATGTTAATTATTATTTTTTAATGCCCACACACAACCGAGAAAGATTTTTTCACAATTAAAACTAAATTATGGTGTAAACACTGCTTAGCTATCGATCACTGATAACTCCATGACTTGAAAATCGATATAGAAATATTGGCTTGCAACCGCGAAAAAAACAAACAAGCAGACAAAAATTATAGCGAAATGAGCAAAAGAACAGAGCGCGCATTCGTGGGCAGACCACATCGAAGCCACCTGCCATCCGATGGATGCTCAGAATCACGCCCACGGCCACGCACTCGGAATGTAATCAAATAAGCGCACTCTTTGGCGGGGACCAGCTGCCAAAAATGGCCACAGCAACTTCTCATCAGAAGATAAATAAAAATTTATAGGCTGGTCACACACGCCAAAAGCGAACCAAATAATAACTATAAATTATTTGGGGGATTTCTACTGTCTTTTTCTTTGGGAAGACAGAGAGACAAAAAGACTCTGACAAATGGCCGGGAAAGGCAATTTGTCGCCCAAAAACAACAACAACAAAAAACAATCCACAATGACGTTGACGCTGACTGCCAGTGATTTTCACCCACTTGGCGGCGAGCCATTTCCACTGGGAAAGTTACTTGGCATTTCCCTAGTGAACTTTCTTTGCCACCTTTGGGCCCGGGCCCAGAGACCTTCTAATCGGGCGGAAACTGTCGAGAATTTTAATTGACGCAATTTTGAGTGTGTTACTGAAATATATGTAGCTTTTATTTTGTGAATATACAAAACATTGTCAAAAGGCTCGCAGAAACAGAATTGATTTCTCACATTATCTACTTCCATATAACCGCACCACGCAGCCACATTCAACACGGAGGCCGAGTTGGAAGCGCCCGAATGCGGGCAGGAGGAGGAGCCCTCTTCGCCGCCACCGCCGCCGCTCACCAGAGGACTGCCGCTGCCCGTGCCCGAGATAGTGGCCATCAACCCCAGCGATCTGACGCCCTGTCCGTGCTGCAGCCGCACCTTCAACTTGAATGCCCTGCGCAAGCATGTCGTCGTCTGCGAGAAGATCTCAAAGAAGCGCAATACCTTTGATTCCTCGCGCCAGCGCCGCGAGGGCACAGCACTTTCCACGTATGTCCTTCCCAAAAACTTTGGCCTGCCCAATGCTGAGAAGGTGTCTGGAGTTCACACCCCCACCGCTGGGAGTCGGGATCCCGTAGGCACGGGATCCAAAATACCAACAGACGTGAGTCCATCTGCCAATCAATCGAGCCATCACTCAACTCTCTCTCTCTTTTCCTTCTGGATGCTGTTGCATCTTCAGAGTGTGGGCTCTCCTCTGCCCATTCGTCGCAACTCCCAAACCGATCTGGTTCGCTCTACGGCCCGAGCTTCCGTGCGTAGAGCAGGGGGCACAGCAACAGGAACAGGAGCTGCTGCAACATCGCCCGCAGGCGACCCAAACCATGTACCAGCCCGCGATCGCTCGCTGGCCAAGCGTATCAAGGGTGTGGCCTCCGAGCACTGTCCCCACTGCGAGCGCAACTTCAACGTGAAGGCCTTCGACCGGCATGTGGAGTGGTGCAAGGAGAAAGCGATTCAGGCCACCATTAAGCTGGCCAACACCCAGGAGACGTCGAAAGCAAAGGAACGGCTCGACGCCAGGAAGCAGTACAGGCCGCCCAATCTCAAGTAAGCCTGGTTTTCGATGACATGTCCTTTGACATATGTATTCTTGTTTGACACTAGTCACACACTTGCCACACACACAGACACTACCAATTTATTATTCCAATTATTTTTTCTGTTTGACGTTTCAATTTCCACTCGCAATGAATAATTATAGGACGAAGCGCTCGATCAACCGGAACAAGTACTCCGGCAACCACGAGGATCTGCTGGACGCCGGCGACATGACGGCCCCCAAGCAGAGCCTGATGTCGCTCCCCTCCATGACCTCGTCCGTGCACAGTGATAAGTAAGTACCAAGGGATAGATATAGTTATAGATATAGAGACTAGAGATACTTAGATACACCTAACCCAATCGCTCCTCTGTCGTTGCTTTGGTTGTCGTTGACTAATCCCCCGTATCCCCACCAGTATCCGTAATTGTAAACGTATCCTTCTGGTAGACAGATACTTCGTACTGCGCCTTGCGCCTCACCGTAGTTAGAGCATATACATATATCCATCAGCGAACTCCACTCATGCTCCTCCCACTCAGCCCTCCTAAAGCAAAGAAGCTGGCACGGCCCCAACCAAAGAACGGCACGCCCGCAGTCCGCAGCAAGGCCGAGGGATCCAGCACAAAAGTCACGCAAAACACAGTTACCTTGTGCGTGACCCAAGACGACGATCCACCGGCAGCCCCAGCTCCGCCAAAGGAGCGCGTCCTACGCGCCAAACGCAAGCCTATCGCGACTTGTGACCGCATCACCGAAACGATGGATCGCTTGCGAAGCCAATCCAGCGGCGAAACCCTCCAGCTGGACTGTGTGGAGGCGGCACCGCTGAAGCCAGCCGCCAGGCTCCGCAAAGGGATGACCAATCGGGAAAGGGTCGATGCTGCCGAGAAGGAAATGTCGTTGCCGGCACTCAAATTCGAGGATCTCAATCGGTTGATCAAGCGAAAAGGTATGGGTTTGGGTTCTATAGTCAGATGTAGGGATATATCTTATATTTATGGGATGCCATGGGGTTCCACTGACCGTAGCGTGCAGTTGCCCAATTAACTTGGCTTACGAGTACTTGTCGGATCTAAGAAGCCGGAACTTGTTCATGGTTCGTAATTAATGCGCGCCGCCTCCTCAAAAGCATTCCAAAAAGATCACCGATGCATTAAGCTCTATAAGTGGCTGTCTAGGTGCAGCTATGGTATCCAATGGATGGGTTCTTAGAGGGAGAAGTGAAGGGTAACGCGAGAGTCTCGAGTATATATATGTATATAGTAGTCTTGTAGAGGTTCCTATAGGAACATTGCATTTAGATTTCAGATAGAAACTTTGAGAAAATAGAACCCATTCATACCAGGATTTTTTATCGAACTATAAGCTAATTGAAGCAACCTCCCATCCACCCACACGCTGCCCACGTCAGACCCTACGACCATCGTAAAAGCAACTAAAATGGATGAAACACCGCAGGAGGTGGTTAAAGTGAAGGTGCGTTCCTCCACATCGCTAGTGCGGCAGGCACGTCGCCGCATCCGCACACGGGAGCATCCCAGCTTGGAGTTGCGCAACTTGGAGCAGGAAATGACCCAAGCCTCGTTCCCGTCACCATCATCGCCAACTAAGAAAGCGAACTCCATGCAGATATCGCCCGAAGATGATATGGATTGCAGCCTTGTGCCTCTGTCGCGGAGACCGGGTGTTGCCTATTCCGATTACGAGGACGATTCGCCGCGAGCCGAGATCCAAATCAAAATGGAAACGACCACCACGCGAACTGTATGCCGGCCCAAGAAGCGGACTGGCCAGGCCACCATGGAGATGAACAGCTCGTTACCCATGCGGGCCCTGCCCATGCCCCAGCTGCAGCAAAGCCTCGAGGCCCTCGGCCACACCATGAGCCATACCAAGCTGCCCAGACTGCAGCTCGGCAGCGATCGGCTGCAGTTCGAGCGCAATGTCATTGAAATGGAAAACGAATCGAGTGAGCTGGAATGGAGCGAGGAAAATATGATGAGGAGGTCCGCGAATATCCTCGAACGCACGTCCAGTCCGAATAGCGGAGAGTTCCCGCAGGTCGAGGACAGCGACGTAGAAGCTGAGAGCGATCAGCGGCCTGTCACGAAGCTGCCTCTTGTGGCCAAGCAGAGCGGCAGCAGGATCAGTCGCTGTCTGGTGATGCTCGAGCAGGACGAGGATGGAAAAATGTACATCAAGGAGCCGCCTGCCAAGGACGACAGCCACCCGCTTCTCAGTTCCCGCCGCGGAGGCACCTTCAAAAGGTTTGTAGCCTGCTAATCTGATTCACCCTCCTCCTCTTCCTCCTCATGCCATTCCACCCAGACGACAGCCAGGCTATGCACAGACGGGCGGGTTACCATTAGAACTTTACCACAGAAACTTTCTACCATTTTGGGCTCTTTCTCTCACTTTCCAATCTCTTGCATAGCGGCCTCAGTGGAGTCAGTGTCAGCGGCGACAAGTACGATCCCTTCCTCTCGGCCAAACGTCAGCTGGAGGAGCTTTGCTCCCCCGGCACGCCGCCGGAGCAGGAGGAAGTTTCGGTTCCCCCAACAGCCACACTAACAGCCACACCAAGTCTTTCCATGACCACCTCGTTGACCATGCCGAGCAGCAAAGCACCGCCGACCACCCCGAAACCCACACCTGCCTCCAACTTCCGGCGCACTTCCTCTCTACGAGGCCCCCGGCGGACACCGCTGCTGCCTAGTCGTCCGTTGTTTGCGACCAACTATCGCCCCACCATACAGCGGGGTCTCTCCGACGAGGGCCCCATCTCCACGAACTTCCTCAAGCCGGAAGAGTACGACGAGATGCCGGTGCGCGCCGCCTGCGTCAACGACTTCCACAGTCCACGCGTGGTCCGCCGGGATACGAGTACGTCCAACCGCAAGCAGATGCTGAAGCTACCGGTGGGCGTTGGCGCTGCCAGTGACACCACAGCTCAGGCACTGCCCGGGCGCAACGTGGCCAAGACCGACTCCCTGGCGGTGTTCCTTAAATACGAACACGAGCTGGAAGAGCTGAATGCCAAGGCAGCGGAGGTGGCAGCCGCCAGTCAGCTGACCAGCAAAGAGCTCAAGGATAAGAGCAACAACCTGAGCAAGCAGAACTCGGCCAAGAACCTGACCACGTCCAGCAATCCCGGCCAGCTGCCGCCCCTGACCTTGACCACGGTGACACCATCAGCATCAGCACCAGCCACAGCCCCACCCCCAGTTTCCGTGTCGGCCAAGGAGAATAACGAGAAGAGGGTGCCCAACAACTACCAGCCCATTGCCACCCCCTTGCGGCTGGAGCCCATCAGCAGACCAGCGACGGCGACGCCATCAGTCCATCAGCCCGTCAGCGGTGGGGCGAACACCCTAACACCCATCAAGCTGGAGAGCATCTTCGGCTTTGGCCGTCCGGCCGCAGCGGGCGGCGGAGAGTTCATGGACCCAAAGCTGATCAACGCATGCGATAATCTGCACGTGTCCAGCGGCGTAGCCTCGGATGCCAGTTCCACGCCACAGCAGCTGTCGCAGAGCCGAAGTCGGAGCAGCTCCCAGTCGACCATCACCTACGAGCGACGTCAGTCCGGAGAGGCCAGGAATCTGCTGAAGCGAAAGATGCGCTTGGGACGCAATCAGTTTCTGTACGATGCCTCGCCGGAGGATGCCGATGCCTCGTCGGGGTGCTCCGCCGACGATGAGGCCAATCGGTCCTCAATGGAGTACGACGAGCAGTGCTGGCAGCAGCAACAGAAGCAACTGCTGGCCAATCCACTGCCCCTGGTCATGCCGATGGGCAACATGCCCACCTTCGACGACTTTGACTTTGAGGAGTTTCTCTCCTCATTCGAGAACGAGAATGACGACGAGCAGTTCCCGCTGTTCAAAGATTGTCGCGAATTCCTGCTGAATCGCACAACGAGCAGGCAACGCTCGTTCCAGAAAGCGACTTCGACACCACAACAGACCACTACAGCCACACTGAGACCGGCCACCACCAGTAGCATCCTTCAGCCCAAGTCACAGCCCACTAAAGACCCTCACACCCACAGATCCAACTCGAATAGTTCGAATAGCAAGGGAGGCGAGAAATTGCAGATGCAGATGCAGCGCCAGCAATCGAATGCATCCAGTGGTAGCAGCCACGACGAAAAGATGCAGCAGATGCCAGTGCAGATGGTGGGGAAGAGGCCAGTCGAGGATCAGCAGAAGCGGGAGATCTTCATCAGCATCGAGACGGAGACAAATGCCCACGGCCGTTCCCCAATTTCTCCCGACTCGCTGCGCCACATGGTGGGCAATTCACAGACGCCCATCGACGTGCTGCACATAGAGAATGGCAACGAGCCGGAGCACGCTCGGTTCAGAAAGATCAGCGATACAGAGGACGCCTATGTCGACGCCCAGGACGGGCCTGATGATCGGGCCAGCCAGTTGGCTGGCAATGCCAACAGACTGGCCCTATTATCGAGCGACTCCGTCCAGGTCAATAACGCTAAAAATCTGATCCAGCAAATGCAGAGCGAGTTTCGGCAACTGGGCGAGGATGCCGGCGCCTCAATCCGTACCCTGTTCATCAGAAGACCCGAAGAGCAGGGTACAGCAAGGGAATTGGATCCGGAGCCAGTGCAACAGCTTCAGCAGCAGGAGCAGCATCAGTTGAAGGCCAGCTCCCCCTTGACACCCTCAGCATCAGCGGATTCCGACGAGCTAAGCAGTCTCGATGGTTATCCCATGTCCTCGTCCCACTCGTCTCGTCGCGGCGCTAGCTCCAAGCTAAGCTCCGACTCTGCCTATGGAAGGTGAGTAATCTGCAATGATGACTTTCATTGAATAATTTGTTTTTCATTTGTATTGCAGCACCAACTCCCCCTACAGCCTGTCGCGCCAGCGGTCCGGCGACCTACAACCGGGTACACCACGCAACCAGAATCTGCTGCGTCCGCACACGGCCAGTGCCAAGCTGCCGAGCGCCATGACTGATGTCTCGACCCAGGCGCACACTGCCTATGGCACTCTCAAGGCACGTCAGAGGCTTTATGGCGGCGGCGGGGCTATCAATAGCATTGGCAATGGCAATACCGACGGAGCAGAATCCTCCAGTGGATCGGAGCACTCTCTGACAATGTCCACGCAGCAGCCGCAGGAACAACAGAAGCACAATAGACCAGATAGCAACTACAACTACCAGCAGCAGCAACAGCAGGTGCAATCCCAGCCAGTATATAACAACAACAACAACAATGGGCAGGCGTCGCTGACTCCAACCGCATCGCAGCATTCCCTGCTAAGCTGTAACTCCGCGTCCAGCCTAAGTTCGAGTATGAAGATGTCCAAGTTCTGCCACGAGTGTGGCGGCAGGTTCATCATCGAGCACGCCAAGTTCTGCATGGAGTGCGGCGTGCGGCGAATGATACTCTAATCTCGGGTCTTAACCCCACGTAGATATTGTTGTACCCCATCACCCACTCACAAAATCACACCGCAACACACTCACCCTGATGATGGATGCTGTTGACGAAGAGCGTCGCCTCCTGGGTTCGGGGTCTTTTATAAGTGCATACCAAATGTAGTTTCTCACACGCATGAGAGACATCTAAGGAGAGCGTTTAATATGTCCTACACACAGAATAATAATAATATTTAATATATATATTTTATTATAAACCAAAAATGCGAACACAAATTTTTATATCGAACGAAAGGAGACAGTCATTGCAGAAGAAGTTCATTAAATTGAGGTTTCTCTAATTAACTTTGCATTTCTCGTTAAGAGCACATTTCTCTGACTCAAAACAAACGTAAACCATTAATCACTTTAAAAAAGTAAAATTGTTGATTAACAAAGACTGAACGAATTTATACGATAGGCGATGGACAAAAAAATTAAATGAATGACAGGCTCCTCCGCAAGCAAGATCGTAACTATTTTTAAACATTTTTCGAAAACTAACGCAGCAACTCCATTGTATTGTATTCTTTATAATCTGATTACTAATTATATAGAGACACTGCTTAAATATATATACTCTAAATGATAATGCTTACACAATTGCATCTGACTATCAATCCGGTTGAGCGTACCAAACGACATCCATTCATGGGAACGACTCATCCGGTCCGAGGAATTTCTCAAATAATACCTATTCTTTTCCTTTCGTTTACAGTGAAATAAATGGAGCGCTTATTACAGCTTTTAAAGACCGCAAGAGCAAGAGCAGCCCACTGTTACAGATAGACAAATAATACAAATAAAATAAAAAAAAAAATTAAAGTAAATGGTTACAAACAGATGCGTACTTTAGGAATGTTCTAGGCAGTCTCTGGGTCTTGCACTTATAATTATCAGGGTACGGCAGCCGTTAGTCCTAGCTTATATCTCTAGAAGATTCTGTTTGATTTAGATTAGGGAAGAGCGCAGCTCTATGATATATTTAAAGCATTCATCATGGCACAGATGGCTGTGGAGATTTTATCTGTAAAATAGGTGGTATAGGAAAATAAATCAAAGACTGTAGTTTAAGCACTTACCCATTTCTGGGATCACTTGCTTGGCTTTAACTAAGGCTTTTTTCGGATTTGCAGTGTTCACATTTTTGCCATCTTCCAAATCGCTTATAGCCACATGTTTTACCACGGAGTGCAATGAATCTCTCTTTTTGAAGAGATACGTTTGATGTTGGATGCACTCATCAATGATGAACTTGAAGTCGGGATGATGGCGCAGAGTGACGGGATTACCAATCAGTATGAGCAGCGCCTTGGGTCGCGAAATGAGCACATTGATGCGACGCGGGTTACGCATGAACCCCATATTGCTGAACGAACGCACCAGAGTGGCAATGATGATGAGCTTCTCTCTGCCCTGATAGGTCTCCACGCTGCCAACTTCCACATTGCCGAGGCCCTGCCGCTTAAGCTTCCGAATGATTAGGTTGCCCTGAGACGTGTATGGAGCCACCACACCGATGTCTTCCTGCTTTACTTCTATATTTGGGCCAAGGCCATTTTTTATCAAGCGCTTGACGTACCAGCACAGAACCTTTGCTTCCAGCGAATTGAAGGAGCTGGTGGTGTGCTCCTCCTTTTCGGTGGCTCCATGTGTGGCCTGGAAGATGATGGGGAACTGGCCATTGGGCAGCACATCCCATTCAGCGGCAAGGTTGACTTGTTCGTCCGGAGCCTTTGCGATTAGCTCTCCGCCGTAGTAGAGCTCGTTAAAAAGACGTACGATCTCGGGATGTGACCGATAGTTACGACGCAGACGCACCTGAAGGGTGCGATCGTAGTTGCCGTTCTCGTCTACCTTGTAGCAATCCGATGCCAGTAGACGCTCCATGAGAGATTGATTCAAGCCAAGGGACGCAGCCCGGCTGCTTTTGATCACTGCTCCCAGCTGCTTGTGATCTCCGGACAGAATTACATGACAATCTCTGTTCTTTTTAACACCCACAATGCCCATAATAGTCTCCGGCTCGGTGGAAGCTCCAGCCTCGTCGATGAATATGTGGGTGAAAAAGTCACCAAAGCCATCGTTAGCCAGGCGGCCGACAGTAACCAATGTGGCCACGATGATGGTATACGTAATCACATTACGCACTCGTAGATGCCTGAACAAATGGTCCGAGCAATTGGAGTTCTTCAGCAGCAAGGGCGGCACCAATTTCAGTCCCTTCTTGAATATGCTGCGTGAATAGATTCGGATCAGCGCCTTTTCCCTTAAAAACATGAGCCGAAAGTTTCCTTCGATATACTCGCACAGTTTCATGGCAATCGTGTCGCAGGCCGAGTTCGAACCGGCTGCTACAAGGATGCGGCTTTGCGGTCGTCGAAGGCGCACCTGTAGAATGGCCTCCACAATGGTAGTGGTCTTGCCAGTGCCTGAATGGATAGAAGGTGTGAATTGTGTACGACTGTGGCTAGCATACCTGATGCTTACCTGGTGGTCCGAACACTATAAATGGAGCTTTGGGATTGGGTCCAGCCACAATCGTCTGCACCGCCTCCAACTGTTCTTCATTGTAGCCTATGGTCTCGTTCAGCAGCCAAATATGTGCTGGAGGAGCTTGCGGGGGCGGCGGTTGGATTTGCATCCAAGATGGAAGATTGCAGTCATGCAATGAAATCTTCGAAGTTTCTATCATTGTGGTTAGCCAATTCGGAAAGGGAAAGAGGTAACGACGGAGACCTGGCATCTCCGGGAGCATATTGACAGCGCGGTACATAAAGCGAAACGGAATACGCGTGGAGCGGAGAATTACATGAAAGCGTTGCGACTGCAACACATTGACGTCTGGAAGTTTTTCCTTACTGAACTTGAAGTGAACACTGGTGCGGCAGACCTGTTCCACACTGGCCACATGGCGGCGCATCGGATCTTTAAGAGGCAATTGCTCATGCGGATGTGGAAACAGGGCCGATATGAGCTCCTTTGGCAGCGGCGAGGCCATTAAACTACACTTGGGTATCAAGACAACCTCATCGATTCCCGGGGACACCACTTCCTCGGCATTGACAGAATCTCTAGCAGTGAGAGCGACACGAAATGCATTTCTATGTACTTTATGAACTGCCACATCCGGCTCGATGAGCTGCGAGTACAGCTTCATTGTAGTCACATCCTCGATAGTAAGCAGAGTCAGCATCACCGAGGACGCATTGTAAAACTCCAACTTCTCGGTGCTCAAATAATGCGCAAAGATGGCGTCATTGTCGGTCAAATCGTCGTCCATAAAATTGTTTGTATGGGCCTGCAGCATTTTCGCATTGGGCTCGTAGTACGGCAGGTCGCGCGTAAAGCCCGATGACCTGCAAAAAATTTAATGCAAAACAGTAAAATGCACTCCCTGGTACTCCTCACCTACCCGTTCTGTATCCCGATTCCCGGCATAGTTTTTCCGGCATTCGTTCCGTTTAATGGTTCCGATTTCGCTAGCTTTAACTGTACCGTTTGTTTTAACCAAAAATCCACCTCGGTGCCTATATGCGACAGCTGCCGATCTAACTATAATTTGAAATTCATTATTAGCGAGCTTCCACTAGTTGTGCTGCATGCTCACTTACAAGTTGCAGATTCATCCCGCTTGCGTGCATGCGCGTTGATGCCATTAAAAACAAGAATACACAAGTAAAAACAGGGACTGCGCGATAAGCATTCAGTAAAAAAAAGTTCCGTTAACTCTTAGCTCTGTCTGGTAACTCTTCTTCGGTATTTCGAACTTTGAGGTATACTGCCACATTGTGCGCTTGCTCCGCTCTCCCTCTCCAGGTCATACATCTTGCGACTATCTTAGAGATGTATCGAGTCGATAGTATCGAAGGCCGTTTGTTTGATCTCCTGTTGATTAACTTAACCCATTGTAGACCATTGGGTATTAAAATTCACTCCAAGAATAGAACTTTAGAACTTTAGCGCAGTTCTGGTAAAAAATATCGTTGCCCTTTTTTAAGTATAGAGAAAGGACGGAGAAAAAAAACAGATAGAGAAAGTTTAGTATTATTTTCTGCGGCGTAACTCACGCTGTTCACCTGTTTAATTTGAGGGGGTTTAAGGGGGTTAAGTTAGCTGGTGTGTAATGTTTACAATGGACCAGGCCGACTCCAACGTTCTAATTGAGGAAATTGAGACCAACGATGTGCCGGACGATGAGTTGGAGCAGTTCGAGGAGACGCAGCCCCTCAGGATTGTGGACATCATAGACATGGCTACAGGGGAGGCCGAAGATAGTGACCAGAACTACGACTACGAGGAGGAAGGAGCGCTAATCAAGCGCTATGTGCAGGGAGTGCAGTGCCTAGAATTCCCAGACTTCTGCACAAAGCTCGAGCCCAGCGACGAAGATGATGAAAATAATGGAGAGGAGGAAGCAGAGGAACAACCCACAGTGTCTGCGCAACGAAAACCGCCGGTGGGACAGCAGCAAGAAGGTACTCGCTCCGGCGGTGGCGGAAATCTGGGGCGAAAGAGCCAGCTGAGCCCCGCTCTGCAAGGATTGATGGGCGAGGCGAACCTGAGCTTCGCGTACGGCCGGTATGAGACAGCCGAACGAATTTGCATGGAGATCATCCGCCAGAACCCGCTGGCCAGTGAGCCGTTCTACACGTTGGCCGAGATCTATGAAAATCGCGACGAGGTCAAGTTCCTGCACTTCTCCACTCTCGCGGCACACTTGAACCCTCAGGATCGCGACATGTGGATAAGAGTCTCTGATTTGCTGGTACAGCAGGGCAACATGGCCCGTGCCCGTCTTATTTATACAAAGGCCATCAAAGTGCTTCCAAAAGGTTACTTGTTAAGGCTCCGAAAAGCGCAGCTGCTGGAGAAAATGGGCGAGACGAATGCGGCCATGTTCACGTACCTCAAGATGCTGCCCCTGATGCCGCCAGAGGAGTGGAGCACGTGCCTTAGCACGGCGAAGAATGTGGCTCGTTTCTTTCACGTCCTCGAGAAGCATGCGATAGCTCTCGAGGCCATGGAGGGGGCGTACAGTGTATGCGGAGCCCGCTTCAGCCTGGAGGATCTCAACATGTATCTCGAACTGTTGATTATCAACAAGCGATACACCAAGGTGCTCAGTTGCCTCAGAGAGCGAACAAACTTTGAGCTGGAAGACGATCAGGAGGAGAGCCTGGAGATGATTTACTTTTGCGTTATACCCGACGACTACGCGCCCGAGCTGAGGGCCAAGTTATGTGTGAGTCTGATCCATCTGCGGGCCCACCACCTCTTGGGCTACCTCATCCAGAATGTACAGGAGCACATCACGCTGACTGTGGGCCGCGTGGAGCTGTACATGGACATCACGGAAGCCCTGATGCAGGAGCACAAGTATGCCGAGGCCATAGCCCTTATGAGTCCCATCACCGATGGCGATACCTTCGACTGTCCCGCCTTCGTCTGGCTGCGGCAGGCGGAGTGTCTTCGCCAGCTAAATCGCACCAATGAGGCCATCCAATGCTACCAGAGAGTGGTCCATCTAGCCCCCGTTTGCTACGATGCCAAGTTCACGCTGTCCGCACTTCTGAAACAGCAGGGCCGGCATGAGGAGGCCGTCGAGGCCTTGGAGCAGTCTGGCGAGGTCGAGGGCCAGCCCTTGATTGCTCGCCTGCTCTACGAAAGATGCGTAATGTTGAAGCAAATCGGGCGCATCGAAGAGTTTCTGGACGTGGGATATGTTTTGCTCAGTAGACATTCCATCAAGCTGAAAAATCGCGAAGAAATGATAGCGGCGGCCAACGGCGGAAGTACCTACAATGCCGAGAGCTTAAAGGCCATTATGCAGATGCGAAGTCTGGCAGCTGGGGCGACGGGATCAACAGAGCCGGAGCTGCAGGTAAAAATACTTACTTGTACGATTCCGAAAGAATTCCATTCAATTGAACACTCTTTAGGATCCCGGCAAGAGTGCCGCATCAGAGGCCTCCGATCTGACCATCAAGGATGAGTACGATCTGTTTCTGGACCTGATGCGCACGGCCCACACACATGGCATGAGCAGTGCCGCCGAGAAGCTCTGCTTCGCAATGGTCACCACAAAGAGGTTCACGTATTACCATTACGAGATTGAAAGGATTATGATACTGGCCTGCTATTTCAATGACGACTGCGCCATTGCGTTTTCGTATCTGCGTGAACTCATCGCAAAGCAGCCGAACCAGATAAACCTGTGGAACCTGCTCTCCCTGCTCGTCCAGAAGGGGGAGGACATGCGGTACTGCCGTTACATACGGCGTCTCCTGCATCGCCAGCCACTTGTCGACCAACAGATGCGTCTCTTCCTGGGCCACTACCATCTCAACTGCAGTTCATTCAAGTACGCCCTCAACGTGTACGTGCCCATGCTGCGCGAGAATCCCGATCCCCTGGTAGCGCTCTCCATAGCCGTCGTCTTCAATCAGTTGGCCCTGCAGAAGAAGGTGCTCCGGAAGTCGGCAGCCGTAGCTCAAGCGGTGGCCTTTGCCGAGCGCTATAAAGAACTCCGGTCTGCTAGCGATGATTTCTCCAGGTGCGCTGCCCAGCAGGAAATCTTCTACAATATCGGACGCATCTACCATCAGGCCAATATACTCCACCTCGCAGTCGAGTTCTACGAAAAGGCTTTGGCCGTGCATCATCCACTGATTGCCGAGTATGAGGATACTCTGGGACTTCAGCACGAGACGGCCTTCAACTTGCATCTCATCTACCGCGCCAATGGCAACCCCTGGAAGGCCCGTCAGTATCTCATGCGTTACTGTGTGGTGTGATATATGTATTTAAGATGATCAATAGAAAATAGGTGAAAATATGTAAATGTGTTTATTTGAATCTCCGTGGAGACGTACATTCAGTAATTGGTGAGCATTTAGTAGATTGCCAAAAGATAGGCTAGCAGGCGGGCATAGTGCAGCGACGATGTTTGACCAAACGCTTGGGACAGGACTGGCCGCCATGCTTGGGCTCGCTTATGACAAAGCGATGGCCCTCGGAGAAGCCGACGCCGCAGCTGACGCTACAGGCCGACCAATTTTCCCACTCGGACATGATGCAGCCTTTGGGTAGATTGCCATCTTGGTCAGCTGTGCTCGAGGCGGAGCCTGTCATGCTGCAGGTGTGCAGACAGTCGTTCTCCGTAAGGAAGTTGTTCCGGTTTCCACGGCAACCGCCGTAACTGAACGCATCGCAGCGATGGGTGTGCGGATTGAAGGCGTAGCGCTGGTAGCTGCCGCGGCAAGGACCAGAGTCCGGCTGTTGAACGCAAATGTCCTTGGCCAGCTCCATATTGATGTGGCAGTCCTGCGGGTTAACACACTCCTTCTGTTGATGCAGCTCCATTCGCTGCGTGCAGTTCTCCTTCTCGGGTCCGTTCTCCAGCAACAAGAGACGGGTGCGGATGGTCACGCCGCGACCACAGGTGGCTGAGCACGGGCTCCAATCACTCCACTGTGTGGTGGGACAAGTCGGATCGGGCAGCTCCACTTGCTCGTAGGTGCAGTCTGGCCGCATGCACTTGTTCTTCTCCACGATGGTGATGTGCGGGCAGCGCTTGCGACCCAGATGGTTGACAAAGGTGCGAGTCCGCATGGTGATTCCGATTCCGCAGCTGGCAGAACACTCGGACCATACGCTCCAGGGCGATGTCTTGCAGAGACCGGCTCCTTCGCCATTGTCGTTGACCAACGACTGTGAGTTGGCCAGGTTCTCGCCTTCATCCTCGTCTCGGTCGCGGCTGGGGGATGAGCCGTCGGCGCACTCGGCCACCGCAGCCACACACATCTCCTTGGAAACCAATTGGCGACTGCACTTGGTCTGCTCCGCCTGCTGGGGGTAGACATATTGCCGACTGCGCATCCGGATGCCCTTGCCACAGGTCACAGAGCATGGGCTCCACGTGGAATAGTCGGTAACACGGCACTCAGCTGGGGATAAGAAGATGTAGTTAGCATTAAAATAAAATATGAAGTTCCTTTCATCTTACCGCGAGTGTCCTGCTCCTCTGCATCGTCCGACACCTCCAGCTGGAGCGCTTGCAGGAACTCATCATCGCAGTTACGTGAGACAATCTTCTCTCTGCGCAAATGCAACTTGGCCAGTGGCGTCATCTCGCGGCTCTGCGGGTTGTAGAAAGGAGCACGGGGATCCTCTGGGTACATTGTCGTAATGCGGTACATCCGTTCCGGGGGCTGTGTTTCTGAATTGGGCGACTACAAGAGAATGGACATTAGGCAATTGGACGAGGCATCCGAGAAATCTAAGACCTCACCATGTAAGTGATCCCACTGTCAGTGCCAGCATCCCAGGGATACAAATCAAAGTCCAGAGACTCCTTCCAGCTGCAGTCGTCAGTGCAAAGGTCGACGCCACTGATGCCCACGACCCAGTCCGGGGAGGGACCAAACATCGACACCATAGACACCTTGGGATGCTTGCGATCCACGCGGAACTTGGAGGAGGTGTTCTCGTTTACATTCGGATACCAGAGGCCTGCGGCTTTGATCAACGTACGCAGCTTGGGCCCGTTGGCTCGAAGCTCCGTCTCCAGAGCTGCTGGCGATCCCCATTCGGCCAACGAGCGAAAACCGGCAGTCGCAATGTGATTCTCGCCCCAAAATGAGAAGTTGGACTCGTGCGAGGCCCCAATCACGTCCGAAAAGTGGGTCAACCAGATGGCAAATGGATAGTCCTTCGGATGCGTCTCATTCGACCAGATGCCCTCGAAGACAAACTGCAAATGGACCAGTACAATTGATTATAGTTACCTTAAGGACCGCAACCACTTCCTATTCAACTTACGCTGTACTTGGCCTCGTCGCAGGCGCAGCATTCCTTCTGAGCCGTGGCAGCATCTGGCTTGCGCTCACAGATCACCGCCGACAGGTTGCCGTCATCCGCATACCACGCACGCGGACCCTCGTAAACCATGGCGGAGAGTGCTACGCAGCCAGATCCGGACTCCGGAGCTACCCACATCACCTGGACTTCCGTCTTGGGCAAGTCATCCGCCTCCGAGACGGTGTTCACACACCGATCATTGAATTGGGTTAGCGAATCACTAAATAGCTGGAACCGGCCTACTCGTCGAGGACTGGCCACTTGGGGGCGTCTGGCGCCAGTTTGAGCCTCTGCAGTAATGGTGAAGTGGGTGAAATGTTGCACCTTTGAGTGCGTGCGGGAACCGAGCAGGAGTACTGGAAAAAATTTAAAATTCGCGGTTAAAAATATTACTCTACTTCACTCGATAGTGTCATCTGCAGATAGGGGAGGAATATATATGAGACGATATATTTTGGTGTATTTCTGAGGGTCGGTCACACTAGATACGAGAATTAGCAGCTGTTGAACATTCGATTTAAGAGTTCGCGCGTTTTTTGTTGTTGTTCAGTCTTCGTGTTGTTATAAAAATGTCCTCGTTTCTTGATATTCTGGGCGATGGACATGTGAACTTTGAAAAATGTGGGGACGTTGTTGTTTCGCCCAAGGACAACATGGTCGCCATGCTCTGCCATTTCTGCAAAGACATTTTCACTCATCTGCCGGAGTTCATGAGACACCTTCAGTGGTCCCACAGCGACGTGTTGCAATTCACAAAGGAGCAGAATGTTTACAGAGTCGAGGAACTGATGTCCTTGGAGAGCTCAGAAGATGATGTACAGTCGCAGGCAAACAGCTGCAGCAGCGGCGACTCGGGATTGGCAGGCGAAATGGAAGATGCAGATGGGGAACCAGGATCATCCGAGTGCCTGGCAAATAATGTGGAAATAATGAATGCCCTGGCAGCATTCGATGTGGATGTCGATGTACTGAATAATGTCAGCCATGAACAGTCGTATTCAAAAAATCCTCCGGATTCCCGGACAGAAGGTAAGTCCAGTGCGACAGGTTCATTAACTTACTTTAAATGGTAAATACTTTTGTACCGGTAGATATTGGTGAAAAATGTGCCGCAAGAAATATTCTAGCAGAAGTGGAAGCCATGTTGCTTGAAGATGAGGGCGACATTTCTCCCAGCTCCCAAACTGTCCAGTCAGTACATTGCCGTGCGGAGAGGAAAATCCAGGCAGAACCTATCATAACAGAAACACCCGTCAAGAAAACGTACTGCAAAGTAAACTACACCGAGAAGGAGATAGAGGCCCACAGCTCGAAAGGTTTCCGTTGTGCCCGCAAGCCGGGGAGAGTGGAAAAACCACCGAGCATCTGCGACCTTAAGAGCTACAACATTACCAGACACTCCCGCAAAAGGGAGGCGATCAAACAGCGCCTAAGCAGCGTAAAAAAGCGTATCATGCGCTCCCTTGAAAATGATGTGTCAAAGCCAGTCGTTATGAATCTAAATGACAGGCGTCTGCCTTTAAAAGGCACCAGCATTAGGCAGGAATTACCATCATTAAAAAATGAGTCCAAAAACTCAGGTGTGGCCATTGGCTATCAAGTCGCTGCTGTAGCTACAAAATTGCCACGTGACAAATTGGAGTCTAAAGAAAACTGCGCTATGTTAACTCAAGCGATCCAGTCTAGTGAAATGAAGCCAGCATTTATCAACCATTTGATCAGGACAAAAACTTCGGCTAATGTTAGTTTAATTAGGCCAGCGTTAACCTCGTCTACAGCCAAATCTTTAGTTAAGGAGAAATCGGTCCTGTCCGCTTGGACAAATCGAAATAGTACTACAAATAGCACTTCTATCGCCTCGGTTCCTGCTAGTCTGCGTGGCAACGAGGCAAAGACTTACATGATAAGTCCCAGGCTCAACAAACTGCGATCCAAATTGAATAACTCTCTTAGCTCTAACATTTCTGGTCCACCAAAACAATCAAAAATGCCTTCTCTATTGGAAAACAGTTCAGTAAATGAACTTCCAGCTGTCTTGGAGTCTACGAACCCTCCCAGTTTCGATTCGGAACAGCCTTATGTGGTGTCTACGACGATAAAACCATCCATTCGTCCATGCCCCAGTAGGACAGCTGTTCAGACAGACAGAAACATCTCCCATCAGCCTGTAGCTAGAAGATCAACCGTGAATATAGAGCGGGTTGATATTCTGCCACCCATCAATATAAAACAGAAGATGAAAATGTCAGCCAAGGATATACCGTTTTGGGAAAGTATAATTATCTCAAGTGTTGCCAGTCAACAACCATCAGAGTTGAATACCACAAATAATGCAGTGGATCAGCCCCCAAAGCGTCCAGAGCGCAGATCTTCGCTAACGGTCATCTCCAGTAGCCCAATTCAGGCTATGAAACCCATGAGAAGGTCTTCTATGACAAGAGAAAACACATCTCCTGAAAGCTCACGAATTCTTCGTTCGGGAGAAGTTGAAAGTCCTGCAAAAGCCAACAAACGTACAAAAGACAGTTTTGAAGAAACTAGTTCCTCCAATGAAAAAGGCAATGCAAAACGATCCAAATTAGAGCAGAATAGATGCTCCATGAACTTCAGTTTGTCGGCGAGCGTTACAGAGTATATCCGGAGTGATTTGAAAACCTCAAAGTTGGATTTAGACAGCCTCCTTCGGTTGACTGAGCCCCTAGAAAGCGATGCTTTTGAGAACACACTAGTGGAAGACCAAGTTGTAAGTGCTTGCCCGATGATAAATACATCCCAGGCGTAATGTAAATCCTTTTTAATCACAGAAAAACGCCACAAAAATGGGAAGCCCACAGAAGGAGTTTACTAAACTCCAAATTGGTGTCAAGCCTGAAATGGAGGCTCTGAAAGAAGACCTTAGGCTGCTGAAGACGGTTGGGGTAAGCAATAGGTCTTAAAAATCACTTCGTACTGGATTAACTAACAAATTATTTTCAGTTGCTTGTATTAAAAGATTCCTGCTTTGAAGATAAACTGCCCTTTGAGCAGTCGGAGAGCTTTCGTAAAACAGCGGCCAAGTTTAGCAAAATCTATCATACGTACGATACAATCTGGAGTTACAGGAAAACAAAGACCATTGGAGTACACCAACGCCTAACCGAGCAGCTGAACTCATTCACCGAGGAGGTAAACAGGGAGATTGACTGCCACTTGACCACGAACGAGATAAAACGCATTCTAAACTTAATTAACTCGTGGTATGCGTATCAGATCGATCAGAGGTTCTTTAGGAAGGCGACCCTTTCGTACAGCGTTGAGCACTACATGTTCCTGTTTCACTTTCTGCCAAAGATTAATCCGACTGTGTACTTTTGCGAGTGCTGTGAGGAGATTTTCCCCAACGAAGCGCGCTACAAGAAACATGTCCAGAGTGTACATGCTGTACACGCGTTTACATGCTCCGAGTGTGGTAAATCCTTCAAGCGCCTCTATTTCTACGATAAACACCTCAAAACAGTACATCTTAAGCCATAACGTGCCAAAACATAATTACTTAGTATTAGTTTTTTTTAAATTTGTGAACCATTTTGTAGAGCACTCAATGCCATTTAGTGAAATTGTATAGCGAGTGCGCCGATAAATAGGCGATTTGTATATCATTGTGTACAAAGGCTTTTATGAGACTGCTTCCACTCTTAATTCGTGGGGAGAGTGGTCATAGCAGTCAAGTTCATGAACCGCCTGGACGAGTTCTTATCAAGTTATCTTCTTTTTATCATGTTACGCCTTAACGTAGTTCAAGTCTATTATATTGATTTTTGAGTAGTAATTTAAATCTGCCTAATTTCATATTGCCATGTTAAAAATAAAGTACACACTTTTCTATTATTCTCGTATCTACCACCATTTCGTATCAAGTGGAACGTGAATCGAAATGAAAAGATGAAAAACATCTGCTCTGAGCTCTGGGCTCTTATCGCTCCGCTCTTCTTGCTTGCAGGCCTTAAGTGACCCGAACAGAGCTGATTATGAAACCAGAGGCTACGCTACCTTCGCTACTTACAATTATACGTCTTCCCGGGTACATATCCATTGGGTCCATCAGCCACAATTAATTTGTATCCATTGTCACCGCGTGTGCGCCGACCATGAAGCAAGTGGGTGGGCGCACGCGGACAGGCGGAGGCTGCATTAATTGTCTGCCAGACGTAAACGAGGCAGGCAAGCAACAGCAGCAGCGATTGCCCCATCTCAGTTTCTTTGTTTCTCGCGTTATCGTTTGACGGTCAAAGTGCTCCGGGTGGACTACTGCGAAGGCGAACAAGCAGCCGCTTCAGGCGAGGCACAACAACTGACTAACTAAGCCGGAGAACCGAGCGATCTTCAAGTCGGGCAGCAGCCCGAAGCCGGATGTCACTCCGGTGATCTCGCGCTTTCTGATTAAGACTACTATTGGGTGAGGGTTTCGGCTACTTCGCTCCTTTAATATAGGTACGCTCCGTCATGTCCGTTTTCTATTAGTACATATATATATTTTGTGGTAAAATTTACAAATAATATTACAATTACATATCTACTATATTCCCGGTAACATTTTTCATTGTCGTCCTCATACTTGTATATAGTTTATAAATTTGTTGGTTGGCCTGCATCGACTACAATGCGCTTAGGAAACTCAACGTTCGTCGTGAGCGAAGCGAATAAACTGATAAATAAACTGAAATACGCGATTGGGAGACAGCACAACGAGTTAACTGATAACTGATCACACGACTGGGGCACTCGATCGAATAAAGAATACATATATGTACGGGATAAGAGAACTATAAAGCATAAAGGCAAATCACAATCGCAAATGAATGTAATACTAAAAGGTCAGAATGGGCGTCTCCCGATGATCCAGCAGATCTGCAATAGAGTGTTTCAATGAGAGACACGGAACTGATGGGATTGTGCCTTCGGTCTTACCCTTCGCAATGCTCCACCAGGGCAGTGTCACATAGGTGAGGAATGCATTCAGCGGCGTCGACTGCTGACGTCGATTCTCTTTCCAGAAATGAAAGGACTGCGTAAAGCCGCGACTGGTCCACAGCGGATTGTAGGCGCCATCGTCGAGCTCTAAAAGTAGAAAAACGCACACATAACATCAGTTTCTGTCTAAATCGGAAGCAAATGAGGCTACTGGCATGCATTTGAGTTAAAGGAATATAAAAAGGAATCCTTTGCAATGACCTTTTAGGGTCTTCTTGGGCACATCGCACCAGTAGTAAATATTAGTGCCGTCCGGGGTGCGGCGCTTGGGCACCAGGTGTAACATCTTGCTACTGTGCGCCTGCTTGGAAGTGCGTGGTAAGGTGGCACTAGACTCCTGGTTGCCATTGGCCACGTCCAGCATCGGTGTGACCTCCGTGGGCGAGACGACAGTGTCTGCCAGCTCATCGTTATCGTTCACGTTGCCGGACGGACTAGCCGGCTGCAGTGGATGGTTTTCCGGTTCGACAGGTACGAGGACAAACTTCTCGAAGCGTTGCGAGGGTGTCTTGGGTGACTCTGACTCCACCACAGGCAGCTCTTCGCGACCTCGCACGCTGATCATCAGCTTGCTTTCGCTCTCGCTCATGACGGCCATCTTGGGTGCCCCGGTGCCCTCAGATTTGCTGCCATTCAAGGAAGTGGCATCGTCGGCTATTTCATACTCCTCCGTCTTTGCAGGAGCTGTTGAATTTGGCGTTTTTGCATTGTTATTGTTTCCAGCCTCTGCCTTCGATGGAGCGTTCGATTTGGTCTTGCCCTTGTCAATTTCCTTGTCCTTATCCTTGCCTTGTCGTAGCCGCTTGGGCGACATCTTGGACAGGAAATTAGTCGTCGATCCGTTGGATTTCTGGTTAGAAGACTTCTTGTCGTTCTCCTTGTTCTTATCTTTCTCTTTGTCTTTGCCCTTGTCCTGATCCTTAGCCTTAGCAGGGCGCAGTCTTGGGGTAATTATCTTCTTGGTGGCTACCGGCAGACTCGTTCTGCGATCGGCTGCACTGAGTGAGGCGCTTCTTGTGATGCTTCCGCCCAGTGGCTTGCGTTTGCTGTCGGCGGGCAGTCTCAGGCTGCTTCGCTTGTCCACCAGCAGTTCGCTCTCCACACTCAAAATACTGGTCTTTGGCTTAAGACGAGACTGTCGCTTGTCCGGCATCTTGCTGAGACAGGCAGGCGTCTCATTGGACGGATCCTCGCATCTGGGACAGTACATCTCGGACATCTCCGGGGTGTCTGAGGTCTTGGACGATGCCCAGCGCTTCTTACACTTTTTGCCGCCAAAGCAGTTGCAGCCCGTGGTCGTGCTCGTGCCGGATTGATCGCTGGCCACAGTCACCTCAACGGCAGCACTTAGGGGTGGTGGAGTAACAGCTGGAACAGCTGCCGCTGCAGCTGCACAGTCACCGTCACCACAACCTGGAGATTCGTGTGTCGGCCCCTTGTCTAGCTCACTCGTTGCGGGAGCGAGCGTATCGGAGCACTTCGGATTCGAGTGCAGTTTTGCCGCGGAGGCCGAGAAAGCAGGACGTTGCTGATCTACAAGTAGATATAGATCGGTTTTTGCGTTTATAAGCATTGATACATCGACACACATGTACAACCGAGGATCGGCCCAAGCAACTTACAAATAATTGGCAACAGAAAGCAGTTAAATAATAAACCAGAAAGGGGCGACATATGTAGATATTCTAGGGGATCGAGTGTTTTGTGGAGCTTGATGACAGGAATGAAACGGTTCACCACCACAGGAAGAATTGGGGTCAATGAAAAGCTATTCTATCTCTAAGAACATTCTCTCAAGGGGGGAAAGTTCTCGAATGTTTATCCATTTCCATTCTCATTTATTCTTGACAAACTTTTCCCTCTCGTGTGTGTACATTGAAACGAAAGAAACGGAAAAGGTATTCAGGAAATCAGGGTAACGGGTATAACGAAATAATTTTGGGTTGTCCTTGTGTATTATTTGTCCTGCTTTCTCGGCAATGTCAGGGTGTTCTTTATATATATACTCTGGCGTCGCTTGGAGGTAGATTAAAGTATATATATAAATTTGATAATTGGAAATAGGTAAAGGAAAATCATCGATGGAACCACAACACATTACGAGGAACAACTCAAGAATAAACAGAACGGAACGGAAAGGAAAGGAGCAGGCAGAAGAAGCGGCAAAAACTACGGCAATGAGTGCAAGGCGGCACACGTACAAATACGAATGTGAATGTGGAAAGCATGCAACTAAGAAATGCTCAAATGAATAGAAAAAATAAGAAAATAGTTTGGATTGGGACTAACCGTCGCGCAGATCACCGGCCTCGATCTCCGATACCTCGCTGGCCAGCGAGTCCAAGCCTTCGTTTTCGGAGCGTGCCTTTGCGCCGACATTGGAGCTGGTGCCGCTGCCCACCATATCCTGGGCGTTGGCATTCTTTGTACGCCAGCCGTAGCGCGAGAAGTTGTTCAGATTAGCGCTGGGGTCGCTGAGCCGGCGTTGGTGACGGTAGGTGCAGTAGTCATCGTTCTCCTCCTCCCACTCGTCCCACATGTCTGTGGCACAGAAGCCCGGCTCGCTTGTGGGGGTCTCCACGCCGGATCCCTTTGGCTTGGTCACGGCCATCTCGGCATGACCCTTTCCCTGAGGTCCCTTCATGCGGACAAACTCGCAGCGTGTCTGCACTCCGGCTCCGCTGCTGAACAGCCCAAAGGACATGCGCTGAGCCACCTTTGAGCTGAGACTCGATTGCTGCAGAATGAAACGAACAGGAAATTACAAGATGGTTATGTTTTTGTGGCTTTCAAACTAACCCTGGCATCGTACACCTTCTTTAGGGCATCGTAGCGTATGGATCCCAGGAAGATTACGCCCTGAACTGACCCATCCTTATCGTTGGCCACCAGCTCAACGCACACCATCTCGCCATCGCGCACCAGTATGTCGCTGAACACCTCGTCGAAGTTGTCCACCATGAAACAGATGTGTGGATACGTTATCTCCTCGCCCTCCCCCTTGGTGTCCATCTTCCTTCGGCTAGGACTGGCGTAGACGCGCTGAGAGTGCCTGCGTAGTACCTGCAGCTCCTTGGGCGACGTTCGGGTGCAAATGGCCAGCGTCAGGGTGTAATCAAACTGGTGAATGACCATGTTGAGATAGACCGTTTCCTCCCAGTCCACATCGGGATCGCCAATGGGCAGTTTGCGCGAGTCCTTGCGGAATACCTCTACCTCAGTCTTAAGAGGATAGGGAAACAGTATTTAAAAGGAGGGTCAGAGAAGAGGTCCACCTGCTGGACTCACCTCATATTTTGGCATGTGGCGTGAAGAGCTCTTCACGTGTTTCTTTCGCACGAAGAAGAGCAAATCGTCCGAATCGATGCTATGCTCGGGTTCTGTTTGGAAGAGGAAGTGGCGCACAAAGAGATCCGTCCAGTAGGTTGTGCCCTGGAGCACCACAAAGCCGCCATCTGCAACATTATCAAAAATCAGTTGTATGTTCCTACGCATTTCACTAGGGAGCTGCCCGACAGGTGAACAGCTGTTGGGAATGACACCCACCACCCCCCGCAATCAAAAAAGGACACGCCGCTTACATAAAGGAAAACAAACTGTGGGCCAAAAAAAAAAAGTGGAGCGGAACACACACTGACACACAGCCAGTTGTAGGTACAGACAAAAGGCAGACACAGAGACATACTCTCCCTTAGGGGTTGCGCTGACAAATCGATAATGTGCAAATGTAGACAAATTTTCTCAATACGAAGAAGAAATGAAAGTGGTTAAGGATACAGGAGTCAGGACACGCACCATCTTTGAGCAGCTGCCGCATCTCCTTGGTGCGCTGGAAGTTGATGTCCTCCAGCAGCTGCTGCAGCGGCGTCTGGGAAGCCTTGAGCAAGGCGGCTGCGGCGCTGGCTAATGCCATTCTGACGGGGGATTTCCTCTACGATGGCGATGACGAATAGCTTGAATTTCGCAATGTGCAACGCTACCAATCCATAGTCGGCGGGCGGGTAGGAGGGTGCAGGTTATATCAATATTTTCAGCTCCCACAGAGTCATTTGTTGGTGCTCGTGTCGCAGCAGCGTCGTGATTTGTTGTATTCGGGAAATCTATTCCGGAGCGAGTGCACGTCGCGAATGAGGCAGGAAACCAACCGCCACAGCTTTCGACAAACCCGCGCCCTTTCCCTGGGATCTTTACGGGGGTAGTTTTCTTATTCTTTCTATCTTCTGCTTGTTATCAGTTGTCAGCTGTTTTGGAGTACAACTGCATTGTCACCCCTTCCTTTGTGTTAAATAATTTACTTAAATACACACTTCTGCAGCAATGAATTGAAGCAAGTCGTCAAGCCAGATTTGTATTGTTTAATGGCTAAATAAACTATCTGTTATAGCCAAAACAAATAGAGTCGGTAGTGTTGGTAAATGCCGATAACATTTATGCTATTCGAATTCGATATATAGATCGTACTATCGATGGGCTTGCACCTCTAAGTCAAAATGAGGTTTTTTTCCGGCGTTATTTTAATTTTATCAATTAAATTATTAGGTGAAATAAACGCACAGTCCAATGAAGTGGTAGGCTGTGGCGGCTTTATAAAAAGCCATGCCGATATTGACTTTTCCAAAGTAGAGATCAAACTGTAAGTTCCCGAAAACTTCGTTGCCCGCTGATAAGATTGTGCGCATGGTGCGGTGCTGGCACTAATTAAATAATAAATTAATGCTCACCCGCCATATTCTTTCAACTTCGGATACCACAGATTGACGAAACAAGGCTCGCTAAAGGATAAGACTGATTGCTCGCCGTCAAATGGTTATTATTTCCTGCCCATTTATGATAAGGGTGACTACCTGCTAAGCATATCCCCGCCGCCCGGCTGGAGCTTCGAGCCGGAGCACGTTGAACTGAATTTCGATGGAAAGAATGACGTGTGCAGTCAGGGCAAAGACGTGAACTTTGTGTTTAAGGGCTTCGGCATAACCGGCAAAGTGGGCCTGGCCACTGGCGGCGGAGCACGTGATGTAGATGTAGAACTTCAGTCTGAACAGGGCGAAGTGAGGCGCACAAAGACAGACATCAATGGCATCTTCTCGTTCACCCCCATCATCCCTGGAAAATATGTAATTAAGGCCACGCACTCGAAGTGGCACTTCTCCAAGGCGGAGCACGATGTCGTGGTTGTCAGTGGCAACACAGAGCTGCCGGAAAACTCTCTGGTGGTGTCTGGTTTCGATATCAATGGCCGCTTTGATACAAGTGCTCAACTCCCTGGCAGCTTAGGCGTGGCTTTGTTCAAAAAAAAGGGAGTAAGTCGAGTGTATGAAGCCTAATCAATCGAATCATTAATCTGACTTTTGTAATTATCAGCAAGCTCTGGTGCCAAAATGCGACAAGTCCTCTGTCGCAGCTTCAAATAGTGGCAGGAGCGAGTACGAGTCTGCCGCCTCTTGCTACACCCTCATTGATAAATCTGGCGAATATACATTCAAGAACGTACCCTCTGGCAAATACCTGTTGCAGGCCATTAACGAGAACACCAAGCTAAAACTTCACCTTAATCCCGATTTCCTGGAAGTGGAAGTGGGCAAGGATACGCTGCAGCTGAAAGAAGAGTTTAAGATTACTGGATTCACCATCTCGGGCCGCGTTTTGGGCTCTGCCGGTGGCGCGCCACTCAAATCGGCCATTGTCAAGCTAAATGGCAAGAAGGTGGCCGAAACAGATGACCAGGGTAGCTACACGTTGCAGAATATCAAAGCGGGGACCATCAACATAGAAGTTGAATCGCCACAGCTGCAGTTTGCTCCATTGCAGGTCAAGGTCCAGATAAACACGGTTGAGCTGCCGACGATTGTGCCCTCCGCTTACGAAGTGTGCGGCAAAGTAGTGTCTACGAATTCCTATGCAGTGGGTCTCACGAAGCTCGGCTCCACCTTCCACACAACGACTAAAACACAGGCGGGAAGCGGTAGCTGGTGCGCCTTTCTTCCTGTCGGTAAGTTCAGCATAGAGGTTCTCACCACGGATGCGGACAAGGCCAGTGGCGTTCAATTCTTCCCCGTGCAGCAGCAGACCGAGGTCAAGGGGGAGCCCATCAATGGCATTACCTTCTCACAGCTTCGTGCCAAAATTCGCGGAGAGCTGCAGTGTCTGCCGGATGCCACGGGCACATGCACCGGGGCCGAGGTCACGCTCCAGGCTCTCGACGCCACCGGACAGCCAACGACAAACAAATGGAAAGCCAAGGCTCATCGTAAGTGCTGACTTTAAGGCTCTGTATCTCTGCTGACTATTGTTGGAATTCTTTCCAGGTGGAAAATTTGTATTTAAGGACATGCTGCCCGGCCCGTACGAGCTGACAATACCCCAAGGAAATCTCTGCTATGAATCGACGCGCGTCTTCCTGAACGTTGCATCCGCCGAGGAGGACGCACCGCCGTTCATTCACAAGGGCTACGAAGTGTCCATCATCTCCAGCCATCGGGCATTGGTTAGTGATTTTAAAAGATAATTCCTAAAATCCACAAAGCAAGCTAAGTGTTCTGTTCATTCTCCCCTATTCAGATGAGGTATACCCACGTTACAGGACCCACGGAAGCAAAGGCACCATCGGAAACGCTGAAAATTCTATCCGGCGTGAACACCTTCTGTGTGTCGAAATACGGCAGCTACGACTTCAAGCTTGAGGGCTGCCATACTTACGATGAATCTTTGCCTTCAAAGTTTATCACCCCAGAGCCAGAACAACTTCAGACGCTGATCATCAATGCGGTTGCCCACAAGACTGGCATTCGCGTGTTATCCACGGAGCCAACGGCTGACTCCATCAAGTTGCTTCTCGAATCAGAGAAACTGGGCAAAGAGACCATCACGCCCACGGCCGAGTCGCACAAGGTAGATGGCAAGTACGCCTACCGCTACGACACCTATCTAAAGCCTGAGGAAGTCCTCCACATTACACCCGTGAGCGATGTGATGCTTTTTGCGCCACAGCACCAGGATATCGTGGGCGGCAGCGACTGTGTTGACATTGCCTTCAACTTTGTGGCTACTAGGGGTCTGATATTGCGCGGCAAGGTGGTACCGGCGATTAAGAATGCCAAGATAACCCTGTCCTTCCCCGAGCACCCCGCGCTGAAGGACATCGAGACACTCACCGCCGTGACTGGCGAGTTCAAGTTTAACCCCATCGATGCGGGCATGGCCTTCGATCTGAAGGCGGAGAAGGAGTCGTACGTGTTCAGCGAATACAATCGTCAGTCGGCATCGTTCAGTGCCCACAAGCTGTGCGAGATTTCCGTAATTGTGAAGGACGAGGCGGGTCAGCTCTTGGGCGGTGTCTTGCTGTCGCTGAGCGGTGGGGAGAGCTATCGCAAGAACCTTGTGACTGGAGAGGATGGTGCCATCAACTTCCACTCGCTGTCGCCCTCGCAATACTATCTGCGACCCATGATGAAGGAGTACAAGTTCGAGCCGAACTCCAAGATGATCGATATAAAGGATGGGGAGACCAATCAAGTCACCCTCATGTGAGTCTTCTTGTTTCAGCTGGAGTCTATACCTTGCTGAACAATGTTGTTTTTCCACAGTGGGAAACGCTTTGCCTACTCCATCTTTGGCACCATTACTTCGCTTAATGGCCAGCCCTTTGCCGAGGTTAATGTAAAGGCCACCGCCGATGAGAGCTGTCACAGCCAGCAGGAGGAGGCCACGAGTGAGTCCAATGGACAGTATCGCATCCGTGGCCTTCAGCCTGGCTGCAAGTACTCAGTTCGCGTGGTGCCCGACAACGAGAGAGTAGAGCGATCTCTTCCCAACGAGCACGAGGTCAGCGTGGGCCATCAAGACGTGCGCGACATCAATCTGGTGGCCATGAGTCCTCTGAAGATTGTGGACATCACGGCCCGTGTGACGGCCACTCTCAACGATCACTACAAGACTCTGCGCATTGTAATGTATCGTCGTGGCAACTCCGACTCTCCGGTGTTCTCGCAGCGCGTGGGCACACCAGTGAATCCCAAGGCCCGCCTGAATCCAGGCATGACTATATTCCTTCCGCGAATTCCCCTCGACGGCAAGAGCTATTTTGTGGAGCTGCAGTCGACGCTGTCGGACAAGACGTACACCTATAAGCTGCCATCGACCAGCTTTGTGGCCGACAGGGGTTCAGTGTTCATCCAGCTGGACTTCAAGCCTGAGGTGCGAGCAGCCGAGACAGATCTGAATCAGAACTCGATCTCCGCGCTGGTTCTCATTGCCCTCGTGGCGATTGCCTTCTTCAAGCAGGATTTGGCCACCAACTTCCTCGCCTTTGTGTGGGGCAAGCTCAACGATCTGGCGTCTGATCTCTCCCAGCGCCACAAGATCAAGACTCAAGTGCGCAAGAACGAGCCGAGAGAGAGCCAGCGAGAGATCGAACAATTGGCGGAGCAGATAAATGCCATCAAAAAGAAAAAGACTAAGAAGATTTAGTCCTGATTGCTGCGTTCTCTCCTTAGTCGATCATCAATTTAGTCACATTTCAAGGTATTCATTTGGTTTTGTTTTTTTCCCCTGTGTAACTCTTGACTCATGGAGATTTCTAGTTCTGTTTTCATATGTAGATGAGGCAAGTTTATTTTGTGTTTCCATTCTGGGTACGTTCTTCACTCTTATAGCTAAAATAAATAAATACAATAAATAGATTAATTGAACACATCGCTCCAACATCACTCCGATCTACGATCCGGACTACTGCATCAGAATGTGCTCGGCAATTGAGCTTAGCATACGATCGCCGCGGCGATTGCGCAGCTTGGCATTTCGCCGCTCAGCCTGCAGGTTGATCTCGTTCTGGGAGTCCAAGCTGCTGGGCTCGGTGGCCGCCTGCTCCTCTTCCTGCTGGCCCTCGGCTTCTGAAGGCTCGCCAGTCTCGACGAATATGCACTCGGGATTCACGGCCGCGCATTCGCTGAAGCTGTTGGCCCTGGCCTCGGGATTGCGCGAATTGGTATACTTCTCGAAGAAGCCGCGTCCCACAATGCGGAAGGCCATGCTGGTCAAGGGGTTCAGCTTTGATCGGAACTCCATTTCGCAGACGAAGCGACGGCGACAAGCCTTGGAGTCGAGGCCCAAGAAGGCGAACATGAAGTCCGCAATCCTAATCGAGAGGTTACCAAGTTTGGTTTCATTTCATAAGGCATCTCCTCAACTGCTATACTCACTGCTCTTCAGCGGGCATTTGACGGGCCACGCTCTCGGAAATCTCCTCGTCCACAATTTCTACCTGTTCTTGTTCCTGCTCATCATCCTCAATCTCAATTTCCGGCTGCTCAGAAGCACTGCGCTTACCACGACGATGCAGATCGGAAGGACCCGTCGGAGTGTCACTATGATAGTCGCCATGGACATCAGAGACTATGTCCGAGGCGGCATAGCTGCTGTAACCGGAGTATGGTTCAAAGCTAGATCCAGAGCTAGAGTCAAAGGATGTCGGCGCATCGTAGTGCTCCGAATGATCGTGATCGAGGGAGTAGGGAATGTGATCGTGATGACTGTACGACGCAGGACTAAATCAAGGAATTATGGAAATTATTATTAGTTTACAATAGGACTACACAACTCACGGATGATCCAGGATGATCTCCTGGTTGCATTTGGCATGGGGCCAGAAGTAGCGCAGACCCAAGTAAATAGCGCTTCCAACGAAGAACGAAACGATCACCACTTTCACCTTGATAAAGTAAGCAATGGCCAAGGGCCAGAGATGGCGGTCTGGAAGAAGCGGGATCAATCAAGATTAAATAATTTCTCGTTGCATCATGGCAGGAAAACTTTTACCAGAAGTTCTACAACTAAATGAGAGCGAGGGGGAACGTGATCTACGGCAATCCATTAAACAATATCTGTGCCCCGATTGAAAGTGAAAAGTGTTAAATGAACGGAACGATTCGTGATCGTCCAATTGGGAAAGATGCGTCTGGTTTGGGATGGGGAGAAACTTTCCAAAGAAAGTGTCAAATTGGCATGTGTGTTCATGTGTACACTCCCGATTATTATTATGCTGATGATCCCAAGTGATCAGAATTGTAACTTTTTAGTGCTAATTTTTGTATAAATGACCCGCTGAACACATCTGGATCTCTCGATTGGATAACCATAACCGAGCTCTACTTACACCAAAACATGTGGTGACGATGCCGACGGGTGCGTCCCTCGAATTCCATCAGTTCCCGGCCTAGACTCTCCCAGCTCTCCGTTTGGTTATCCAAGGCGGCCGGAGGATCAGCGCTTTCCTCTGTTTCCTCGCAGAAGACTAGGGTGAGGTAGAGCACAAGCAGCACAGCCGCATACCAAATTGTATTCTTCTGCATGATGATAGAATAGATGGGATGTGTGTGTAGATAACAAGCTTATATCCTTTGGGCTTTTGTATGTCACTGGAACACTGTTGCTGCAGAACTGAATACTGAATGATGCACCTCGACTGGGGGTTAACGTTTATATACCACCGGCAGAGAGACGATCGGCGCTCGACTCCTAGTTCAGGGTGATAATTGATAGTGCCTTGTTGTTGTGGATTTACGCGAAGAGTTTAACACATGCGTATACAGTGATGACGAACTGGAAGCTATGCTTTTTTAATGCTTGAAGCATGCATTTTATCTAACGAAATTTCTTTAAACTGGTGCAATTTCACTTTCTTGAATCGTGCTCAATTTTCTAACCGTTTTGTTTTTGCTTGAATTAGTAACTATTACGAAACTACGACATGGTTTTTCATTATTTAACATGCGGTAAAATTGTAGCAAACTTCAAAGAACAAATTTGAATTCATTTAATTGGCGCGCAATTTTTGTTCTTTCCCCTAGATGTTCTTAAAAGTTATCGAATTATCTAGTCGATTTTATCCATAGCTTAACCTATTGTAGACCAGTGGGTACGAAATACACTCCACAAATATTATAAAACTTGAAGACTTTTAGCGCAGTTCAAGTGAAAAATATCAGCGCCAATTTTTTTTAAAGTAAAGACAATGGATGGCTCTACAGTAATAATTTACAAACTGTGCTATTTTCCGTGGTTTAACTTAAATTTTGCATAAATAGAGGGGGGTTCAGTGGGTTAAGCTCGTTTTTTTCCATTAAGAATGCCGGGTATAAACCCGGTATAAACAAAATAATTGTTAAAAATGTCGTCCAGCTTGACGTCAAATGAATTGGAAGCCAACCCGGCTCCCGATCCCCAGGCGCCCATCACACGCAAGGGATTTCTTATATCGCTGAAGAACAGTGGAACCCCCATGCCGATCCCAGAGCAGAATTTGGTAAATTTATCAGGCAGTCGAAGACTGCTCAAAGAAATATATTCGTGATTTATATACTTTTTTCTATAATTAGTATGGACGCTGCCGACCCGTCGCCGAGTTCGAGAAGCTAAACCGCGTGGGTGAAGGCAGCTATGGCATTGTTTGTAAGTCAGCCTAAAACCGCATCAAACCGAATAAACCAACATGATTTCTCCCAGATCGAGCTCGTGACACTCGGAACAACGAAGTTGTGGCCCTGAAGAAGGTGCGCATGGACCAGGAGAAGGATGGCCTCCCGGTGAGCGGATTGCGTGAAATAATGATACTAAAGCAACTCAAGCACGAAAATATCGTCCGCCTGCGGGAAGTTGTCGTGGGCAAGAGCTTAGACAGCATATTCCTTGTCATGGATTTCTGTGAGCAAGACCTAGCCTCCGTACTGGACAACATGGCCCAACCGTTCACCGAGTCTGAGGTCAAGTGTATTACGTTGCAGGTACTGCGAGCCCTTAAATATATTCACGATCGGTATATAATCCATCGCGATTTAAAAGTTTCAAACCTGCTGATGACGGACGATGGGTGCATCAAGTTAGGCAAGTAAAGCGAGCGCTATTTCTAGTTTCCAAGCTAATCTTTTTCGCTCTTACAGCTGACTTTGGCCTGGCACGCATGTATAGCAATCCCCCCAAACCAATGACACCGCAAATGGTGACCCTGTGGTATCGCGCCCCGGAGCTACTACTCGGATGCAAAACACATACCACAGCCGTGGACATGTGGTCGTTTGGCTGCATACTTGGCGAGTTACTACTGGGAAAACCAATGCTGCCTGGAAGCTCAGAGATAGCCCAGCTGGATATGATAATTGATCTGCTTGGAGCGCCATCAGAGTCCATCTGGCCAGGTTTTTCAGAGCTACCGGCCGTGCAAAACTTCACATTGAGCCAGCAGCCGTACAACAATCTAAAAACCAAATTCAGTGCAATCGCACAGGCGGGCAGAAATCTCCTCAACATATTGTTCATCTACAACCCCAATACTCGAGCCACAGCCGAAGAGTGTTTGAACAGCAAGTACTTCATTGATCCGCCACAGGGTAAGCTAATCAGCAATAGAATGAATGATCTAAATGATAGAGTAAATCTGTCCACTTGCAGCCTGTGACCCACGCATGATGCCCACATTTCCACAACACCGAAACAATACAGCCCCGCAGCAGGCCCAGACGTCGGCAGACATTCCCATTTCTGATTTGTTAAATGTATTCATAAAGAGACAGCGCATGGATTAAAACGTAAACGAATTTATTATGCAATGCACCCAGTTTACAGGTATGGCCTATCCATGGGCGTCTTCTTGGCCTTCTTGTCGCGAGCACGTGGGAACCAACGGTGCTTTGTGGTGTGTGTCAATTTCGACAGCTCGTAGCGTGCCACTTCAGGATGCTTCCTCTTGAATCCCTGCATCGCCGTCTTCAGTGCAGTTTCCTTGATCACCGCAGAGGTTTGCGCTTCCACAACTTTGGGCAGCGGCTTTGAGTGTTCGTAGGGGAAGGCTGTTTCTGGATGCCAGGCAACTATTGTTTTGCCATTTTTTGTAATAGCCACGCCGTCCACCAGACTCTTGCCTCCGATGGCGTTGCAGTTCACGGCATTTTTAGAAAATAAACGAAAACTTGTGTATAAACGTGCCGCCCAAGCCATTTTTATCAACAGATGAAAAAACGAACTTAGCCCACTTAACCCCCCTCTATTTAAACAGGTGAACAGCTTGAGTTCAACCACGGAAATTATTATTGTTTTGTAAATTATTCTTGTGGATCCAACCTTCCTCTTTCTCTACAATCATTATTTCCCCGATATCTTTCACCTGAATTGTGCTAAAATAATTAAAGTTTCTTTATTTTCGTGAACTGTATTTGAGTACCCCGTTGGTCGTTAATGGGTTAACCGTTACCAACATCGATATACCTATCGCTTGCTGTTCGATTACAGTAGGCTGGGTACTCAATAGCTTCGCTCACTTATCGCACTTGAACTTTGGAAATATACAGAGAGCATACATTTTTAACACAATGTGGATATTTTACGCATTTCTGGTCCACGTACTTCTCCTGGGCTCGATACTTGTGATCAACTTTCGTTCGACCGTCATCAAGGGCCTACAGCCACAGACACCTCTACTTGCATACGATTTGAATCCTCCGGCGACTCGCTTGGTTCTGTTTGCTACTGATGGACTCCGTGCCGCTTCGTTTTTCGAAGACAATTGCCGGCATGTGCCGCATCTGCGGGAGATATTTATGCGCGAAGGGTTGGTTGGAATATCTCGCACGCGTGCTCCCACGGAATCTCGACCAGGTCACATAGCATTGCTAGCGGGCTTCTACGAGGATCCATCGGCAGTTTTCAAAGGCTGGAAAGGGAATCCCATTGACTTTGACTCGGTGCTCAATCGCAGTGGCTACAGTTTTTCCTGGGGATGTCCGAACATAATGGACGTATTTAAGAAGGTAACCAAGCGCGGAGGCGGCGTGCACTTCCATCCCTTCAATGACGATGTGTATGAAACGGCAAGATGGGCCACCTACAGACTGGACGAATGGGTGTTTAGCCAAGTAAGCGCACTCCTTGATCGCATTAAAAACAAGTGGAACACCTTCAGCACGGTAGTATTCTTCTTACATTTGATGAGCTCCGACAGGGCCGGACATGTCCACAAACCAGGAACGATCCTTTTCCAAAAAAGTCTTAACATTACGGAGCGTGGCATTTGGGAGATGTACCGGAAATTCGAGGAAACCTTCCCGGATAAGAATACAGTTTACTTGTTGACCTCCGACCACGGCATGACAGACACAGGTTTGAGATAAACCAAAATAACCGATTTATTCGAATACCATTAAAACATTGCTCTGCTTAGGCATCCATGGTTCTGGCACAGCACATGAAATCGAAACACCCTTCATGCTCTGGGGCGCAGGAGTTTCCCGTATCGCTTCCACTGGGGGAGCCCGCAAATTTGTGGCCAACGATGACGGCCTCCAGTTACCGCTCCACGAGCTGGAACAGGCACAACTGACACCACTGATGTCCGCACTGTTAGGCCTGCCTCCTCCGATGAACAATTTTGGGACACTGCCGACCGGCTACATGGCTGTGAGTGAGGAGTACGAGGCCATGGCTGCTCACAGCAATGCTCTCCAGTTGCTAGCTCAATACGAAAAGCTGCTGGAGCAGCACAGGGAAGGGTTCTTCGCTGACTTTCTGAACAATTTCGATCAGCTGTCGCCGGCAGAAATCAAATCATATAAGAAGCTGATATTGAATCTTCACACCAGAAAGGCCTATTCGGAATCTTTGGCCAGGAGCAATGTCGTTATGGAGCTTACTCTGAAGGGAATTGACTACTACCACGGGTACTATCGCAATTGCTTACTGCTAAGCACTACGGCCACCTTCCTTGGTTGGATATTCTACCTGTATCGATTGCTGTCCAGGAACACGGCAGGGAAACTCCAGATAATGCTTGAAAAGCAAGAAAAAGTGTGCAGAATAACATTGGATGTTTCCATGTTCTTGTTGCTATTCTTCCTCGTGGCGCAGCGAGCGCCGATCGCAATTGCATTCTATTTGTTGCTTCCGATGCCTGTATGGATGATGGCATTGAAGCCCAAAGCGTGTGGATCCACGTCAGCATCGGTGCCCAGCAGTCAGCCTGGAGTAACTGCCCGGATGACTTCAGCGTCGCAACTGTTGTTGATTATTGTATGCGCTGAGCTGATGGTGTTTACCTTCTTTGAGCGACGTCTGATCTCGCTGTGTTTCGTAGCCTTTGGATTCTATAACAATTGGAGAAACTTCGTGCCTAACTCCCGCGAGTTCTACACCTGGCTGGCGCTGGTCATTATCCTTGCCTGTTTCCCCCTTCTGCCGCTGTCAGAGGGTTACCAAAATTGGTATCTTTTTCTGTCTGGCATTGTGCTAGTATTTCTAAGAGCATTTTGGTCCAAGAAGCGGCGCTTCAGTTACAGTTATCACACCAAGTACTGTAATGCCCTGATCCTGTTGAACACCATCATCTGTGCGTATTTTGACTCAGAGGAATACGACATACCCATCTTGCTATACCTAGCCAGCTGGTCTTTCTTGATCTATGCCTTTGTCTCAATTCTAATGAACAAGGAGTCGAATTTTGAGCAGCGTCTGGACCAAATCTGCTTTAATCTGGGATCGCTCCATGCTCTGCTTTCCACCTCATACGAATCGGTCTTCGTGCAGCTGCTCACCATGGAACTGAGCCTATCGCTCGCCGCTACGAACTCGGCCAAATCAGTTCCACGTGTGGCCTTCAGCATTCTCCTGTATACACTATTCTCATTCTTTGGCATGGAATCTTTTGAATCGGTCGACAATCTGTTTGATTCCAACAGTGGGCGCTGCTTCCTCTGGCAGTATGCGCCGTATATCACCATGGGTCTTGTTCTGTTGAAGCACTCCCTGCCGGTGCTGCTAAACATGTCCATTTTTTATACGCACTGCGAGTATGCCCGTCAGAGGGAGAAGAGAATCTTCATCTGCATATTGTTCATTTGCAACATAATGGGACTGAACTTCCTGTTCCTGGTGCGCAATCGGGGATCCTGGAAAGATATGGGGGCTTCAATAATTAATTTCTACATCATGGGGTTAATTACGCTGATTATTGTTCTGCTGTCCTGGGTCGCACAGCTGCTGCTGGGCCTGATTGCAATCGTTTACCGGCAAGTCTGAGCTAGTTCTAAATTAAATGAAAATTCTTTTTAATAAAATATATAAACATTTCTTTGTTTTACTGACCGTTAAGGTTTGATAACGTTCTATTCTGTACAATTTCTCCAAAAAGAATCGAATAGTTATCATTGCACTCGATTAAAATGTATCGAAAAATACCCTAGCGCGTTGTTTCACATCAGCTGATTTTAGTTATGATTTAAATTTGTACAATACGAATAATGTGGATTGTTTACGCCTTGGTGGTCCATGTACTGCTTCTGGGCTCGATATTTGTGATATACTTTCGATCCCCCGTTATCAATGGTCTGAAGCCACAGACACCATTTATTGGATACGGACTGGAAGCCCCGGCGAATCGTTTGGTTCTGATTGTCACAGATGGACTCCGTGCCGCTTCGTTTTTCGAAGACAATTGCCGGCATGTGCCGCATCTGCGGGAGATATTCATGCGCGAAGGCTTGGTTGGAATATCTCGCACGCGTGTGCCCACCGAGTCCCGACCGGGTCACATAGCTTTGCTAGCCGGCCTCTACGAGGATCCATCGGCAGTGTTGAAAGGCTGGAAGGAGAATCCCATTGACTTTGACACGGTGCTCAATCGCAGTGGTCACAGCTATTCCTGGGGAGCTCCAGACATTCTAAATATATTCCAAAAGCTGGCCGGCGTGAACGACCCCCGAATGTACTTCGATGCATACTCTCATGATATGGACTTCTCGGGAAAGCACAAAACCTACAAGCTGGACGAATGGGTGTTCAGGCAAGTGCGGTTTCTCCTTAACCGAAAGAAGGATGAGTTGCGCAAATACCAACCGGTTGTTTTCTTCATGCATTTGCTGGGCCTCGATACGGCCGGTCACGTCCACAAGCCGGGAACACCGCTTTTCCTAGAAAATCTAAACTTTACGGAGCATGGCATCTGGCAAATTTACAATGAATTTGATAATGTCTTTCCTGATAAGAAAACAGTCTACTTGCTGACTTCCGACCACGGCATGACTGATTCAGGTTTGCAAGCTAAAACTCATTAATATACACATAATATAGGATTTATCATTTCTAGGCTCACATGGATCTGGCGCCCCACATGAAACCGAAACACCCTTCATGCTCTGGGGCGCAGGAGTTTCCCGTATCGCTTCCACTGTGGGAGCCCGCAAATTTGTGGCCAACGATGACGGCCTCCAGTTACCGCTCCACGAGCTGGAGCAGGCACAACTGACACCACTGATGTCCGCACTGGTAGGCCTGCCTCCTCCAATGAACAATTTTGGGACCCTGCCGACCGGCTACATGGCTGTGAGTGAGGAGTACGAGGCCATGGCTGCTCACAGCAATGCTCTCCAGTTGCTAGCTCAATACGAAAAGCTGCTGGAGCAGCACAGGCAAGGGTTCTTCGCTGACTTTCTGAACAATTTCGATCAGCTGTCGCCGGCAGATATAAATACGTACAAGCAGCTGATAGTTAAGCTTCGCACGGAAAGAGCATATGCGAAATCTTTGGCCAGGAGCAATGTCGTAATGGAGCTAACTCTGAAGGGAATTGACTACTACCACGGGTACTATCGCAATTGCTTACTGCTAAGCACTACGGCCACCTTCCTTGGTTGGATATTCTACCTGTATCGATTGCTGTCCAGGAACACGGCAGGGAAACTCCAGATAATGCTTGAAAAGCAAGAAAAAGTATGCAGAATAACATTGGATGTTTCCATGTTCTTGTTGCTATTCTTCCTCGTGGCGCAGCGAGCGCCGATCGCAATTGCATTCTATTTGTTGCTTCCGATGCCTGTATGGATGATGGCATTGAAGCCCAAAGCGTGTGGATCCACGTCAGCATCGGTGCCCAGCAGTCAGCCTGGAGTAACTGCCCGGATGACTTCAGCGTCGCAACTGTTGTTGATTATTGTATGCGCTGAGCTGATGGTGTTTACCTTCTTTGAGCGACGTCTGATCTCGCTGTGTTTCGTAGCCTTTGGATTCTATAACAATTGGAGAAACTTCGTGCCTAACTCCCGAGAGTTCTACACCTGGCTGGCGCTGGTCATTATCCTTGCCTGTTTCCCCCTTCTGCCTCCGTCAGTGGGTTACCAGAACTGGTATCTAGTTCTAGCTGGCATTGTGCTCATAGTCGTGAATGCTTTGTGGTGCAAGGAGCGGCGCCTCCGGTTTACCACTCACACCAAATACTGCAACGCTCTGGTCCTGGTGAACACCTTCATCTGTGTGCATCTTCATTCAAACCAAATTGGGGTTCCCATTGCACTTCACCTGGCCAGTTGGATGTTTCTGATCTACGCCTTTGCCTCCATTCTATTCAACAGTGAGTCAAAACTGGAGGCGCGTCTGGCCCAGATCTGCTTCAATTTGGGCTCACTCTATGCCCTTCTTTGCACCTCATACGAATCCGTCTTCGTGCAGCTACTCACCATGGAACTGAGCCTATCGCTTGCCGCCCAGAGCTCCCGGAGCTCAGAGAAATCGGTTCTGCGCCTGGCATTTACCATTCTACTCTATACATTCTTTTCGCTCTTTGGCAGCGGAAACATTGCATCGATCAGTTCGTTTGATCCCAACATTGCGCGTTGCTTTCTTAGCACCTTCTTGCCATTCATCATCATGGGCCTGGTGCTGCTGAAGCTGCTCCTGCCGGTGGTGCTGAACTTGTCCATTGTCTATACCCACTGCGAGTGTGCACGTGAGCAGGAGCAGAGAATCTTCATCTGCCTACTGATCATTTGCGACATAATGGGTCTAAACTTCCTGTTCCTGGTGCGCAATCAGGGCTCCTGGATGGACATCGGCTCTTCCATATCGCATTTTGTCATCATGGAGGTGACCACGCTGGTGCTACTGCTGCTATCGTATGTCGCGAAGCTGCTCCTGCGCCTGGTCAACTGCGATCGTCTCGTGGAAAAGCTGCGCTAATAAAACCCGGATCCGGATAAAATCCAAGTCCATGTCCTGATTTACCAAAAACCTTACGTTTAACTTAAGCATTTATGTCAATATTTACAATACTAATTAAGAATTAGTAACATACACTTGTAAATCGTAGAATCTATATGCTAGGAATGTGTCTGTGTGTTGGTGTAGGGTGTAGGGTTTAGGGTGTAGGGTGTGTGTTGATGTGTGGGTGTGTGGCATGGCACGACGACATCTAATGAGTAGCAGTAGCAGCAAAAAGAACAAAAACCATTCTCCCAAACTAATCTTTAAGATATTTCTCCAGCGGATTTAATCCCTGGCGTTTCGGATTGGCTGTCTCATCTGGAACGGAGCCAAGAATCACTATCAGTCATTCTTCAAGCCTCTCAGATTTCTACTCACTTGACTGTGCCGGCTTAGCTGTGGTGGCACTCTGCGCCCGTGGGGAGGATTGCAGGCAATTGAGCCACTCGGCCAACGAGATCTTCTTATCACCATTCACATCACAGTAGCGCGGCATCTTCTTGCCACATCTCCGTAAATTGCTGCGGGAGATTACGTGGATTGTTAATAAAGCACAAATGTGATTTTGATAGAATTATCAAGATGGTGCTCACCTGGCACTGGTGACCAGATCCCGGAACACTTTCCATTCTCTGCGCTCCCACGACTTGTTTTTGTTCTTATCCAGATACACAAAGCTCAGCGTGGCAATCCGTTCGTCTTCCGTTTTCCACATGGTCGAGTTGGTGCTGTTCAAAATTCTATTAATATGATTTGATAAAACAGGGTTCCGCCACTAATCCTACCTCGTTGGACTGCTGGGCAGAGAGAGCTGCGTGTTGAGGTATGCCTTGAGCTCCTTGAGGAACTGCGTTTTGCGCGGCTCAGTGCATCCCTTCATGGGTCGCACGACGATGTCCTCATCGCACTGGGGCGGCTTGTTCTTTACCCAAGTGCCCGGAATGTTTTTGCCCGTGTCCTCGTTCACACACCAGCAGTATGGGGTGGAGCTGTAGCACTGGATTCGCTGATAGCGTCCATCGGGCATGCACTCGGGCACATAGAACCTGCTCTTGCCACCGTGCTGTGGAATACAAATCAGAGGATTTCCATTTGAATATTTACACTTTTAAAGAGAGAGATGAGGTGGAGCTTACGCCTTGTTCCTCCAGTGCCACCGCCTGATCCACCCAGCAGTTGGACTCGCCCTCATTCTCGGTGTTTGTCGATTCCGGCGTCTTTGAGTTCAGCACTGTCAAGATATGGGCATTAACATACATTCTATTCTGCCCTTTGGATACATGCCAAATGGATATGAATGTTACTAATTTTGGTTAGTGCTCTGCACCCAAGACACAACAGAGGCGTTTATGTATGTACGTACTAATTAGTGACGGATAGTTCAGAGATGTGCGTGAATGGTGCATGCTCGAGGCGTCCGATTCGTCCTCATCCTCGCCGTTCCCATTGCCATACCCGGTCGCACCATCGTCGTAGTTCTCATCATTGTCCTCGCTTCCAACGCCCAGATCCTCCGAGTACGAGTGCGGACTGCTGCTGCCGATGATATTGGTGTTGGTATGATCGTGGTTGTTGCTATTCGAATTTGTGGTGTGAATATGATAGTGCATGTCGTGTGGCGGTGCCGTGGCTAAGCTGCCATTGGGGACATCAACTGCGCCACTACCTGGATACAGACAAGACAACACACAGATACCAGATGTGATTATTATGTATGTTGATGGAAGTTAGTAATTATCCTCCGCTCCCTGGGTTAAAGTTTTATTTAAGATAATAATCGATATGTATCAAAATCTTTTGTTAGTTTCGAGTGCAAAAACTGGGGAAAATGAATTAATAGCTTTACTTACGATTATGCGAATCTTTGAACAGGCAAAGACTCCACTCGATGCGGGACAGGTTGTCGTCTTTGTTGACGACATCACAGTACTTGCCAAAAGCACGTCCACAGCGTCGCGGCTTCACCGCCTGTTCGCATACAAAGCAGCAATATGTATGGGTTTGGTTTTGTATTAAAGTGGGTGTACATTTGTAGGCTGACCTGGCGTCTACAGGGCACATAAACAGCAAACTCACCCGCTTGAGGAGCTTCTTCAGCTCGCGTACTTCTTGCCTGTCCAGCAACTGGTTGCCATCCGCATCCAGCCTGGTAAACTTCCAGTCCAAGATGACGGCGTCCGAGTGGGTCTCTTTGGGGCCAAAGCGCAAGTACTCGCTGCGGAACACCTCGATCAGATTCCTGTTGAAAGCCGTGCGATCCGCCTTGCCACATTGACGATGAGCAGCTGTTCCGCTCCCACTGCTGCTTGCTTCAGCACTGCCTCTGGCAGAGTCTTCATCGTAGCTGATCTGCCGCGTGGGCAAGCGGCGACGGTTGCGCCTGTAGGCCCGGCACTTGGGCTTTCTGCGGCGCGACGAGGTGGAGGTGTCCTCAATTGGACGGCCCATGCTGTCACTGCACCAGCATCCAGCCTCTCCGTAGCACTGCCTGGCAGCATAGTTTCCGTCCTTGCGACAGCGCGGCACAAAATACTTGGGATCGCGTGCCTGCTGGCGACGCGCGTATTGGGCAGCCTCCAGGCAGCCTGCAATCGGGCAAAGCAAACGTTAGAATCGGAGCAGAACATGCGGCACGTCGCTCATCGCTTACCGTTGCACGAACCACGGTACTTGAGGCTCACCGGATGGCCGCTGCACTGCACCCGGAGCAGGTGACAGCGCGTGTGATAGGTCTGGCCATCGGTGCCGCAGACAGGACCCTCGCTCTCATCGCACTCGCCCAGCTTGGCGGCGCACGCAGACAGTTTCAGCTGGAAGGACCAAGGAAGAGGTGTCAACTGTGAATGTGAAGCATTTGTCTACCGCTCCCTCCCAATACCATTGCCACTCTCCCCGCTCGGGGAGACACGCTTAAATAGAATCAAACACGCGTAAAATGATTTATCGCATTTATGGCCAAGTCGCCAAGCGTCTGGCCGCTCGACTCTGACTTGCATACGGAATGGCGAACAGTGACTGCCCGCCTGGCCCGGCAGAAGGGGCAGCAGGGGCAGCAGCGGCAACAGGGGCGTATACACGCGACATGGCTAATATGAAAATCAAAGTTGTCAGGCCCATAACTTGAATGGCATCGCAAATACGAGAGCAATGTGCAAAAAGCCATGCGAAACCCAAAAATCAGCACCGAAATTATGGCGGCCTGTCGCTTTCGTTGTCGCTTGGATGTTGTCGAGTGTCGTGTCGACCAACTGGCTGCCTGGGATGCCTGGGCCGTGCCGGCACGGCTGCTGCTGAGTGCGCGAATTCTTGTTTAGCCCACAAAATCATATCTACATATGTATATACATATGTATGCATATATTTATGTACATATGTACAAATGTATATGGTATATTAATCATTAAAAAATAAATGTGGGGGGACGGGGGACCCCAACACAATTGCGTAGCACTTAATATTGCCACTGCAGCGCCTTTTGTCGCCAATTTGTTCGGCCAGCCCACGTCCATTTGGACATTAATTAGATTTTGCTGTTATTATCCAATATCTGAAATATGTTTTGGATAAGATATTAGGATACGATACTAATTGAGGGAATTGCAAATGCCGAAAGCGAAAGTGGATCTACATAGTAAATTTACAATACAATACGAACAGAGGTTTCGATTCACATTTTCTAATCAAAGGTCAATTACTAAGCAGCCCAGAAAAGTTGCGATTTCTGACGGCATTCAAGCACCGCATCAATCTTGATTCTGCTGATATCCTCCTGATAACCTGATTCCCTCCATGGAATAACCCTTTGTACAAAAATAAGCTTACAAATTGTTGATGTTTTTTTTTTAATTTCTTTTCCATATTATAACGAATTAATGGATTTTCCTTAGACAAAGCTCTAATCAGAATGGTTATTAAAAGTATAGGAGATTAGGAGTATACCATCGTCATACTCCAGCTGTTGTTTCGTTTTCTTTTTGTGGCACTAGCATCCGCCTAGATCCTACAGGCTGAGCACAGGCCCACACCCGGCCGGAGCAGAATAATCCTCTGCATTTAACCACCTGACCCGTGAAGCCTGCGAAATCGAATCTGCTGCATTGGGTAAGAATTGACCCCAGTAACCGACTTGATGTTGACCACAGCATCTAGCAGCCCATTGTCGATGCCATCTTACACCTTAGCAGTGTCCATTTGCGGAGTCTGAATGTCTGAGTGGAGATACGCAGCCGGCACACCCATCGCTCGGTGGGCCAAAACGGTAATTTGGAACTCCGAGATAGGCCTATGAGAGAGATATGTAGTCGCTCACATCGCAGGATAATCGCGAACACTGCATGACCTTACAGGTGTATGGACGAGGCGCCTTTTATGCTTTGCCTGCTGATCAGTGGAGTCCGACAAACTTCGAGCCCGAATAAGTGGCTCGCACCGAATACTCATATACTAAGGATGGTTCAACCAGCGCCTATGCCGCATACCCCGAAAAATAACCTATCACGCGGCGGGAGAATACTTCTAGATACATTTTGTTCAAACATTTCTTTACTTAAACACAACTTGGGTCTGGGTATGTTTGAAAATGTCAACAAAATCCAATTAAAAAGGTTTACAATGGGTTTCGATTCATCTTTTCTAAACAAATATCAATATTGACTTCTGTAAATGATAGAACTGTAGATCAACCAACAATGTTTTTGGGATCATTCATAAGACCGATTTTGAAACCCAAAGGTAAATTTGATGTTGTTAAATACCAGAAGCCATAAGCCTTTATGAGAAATGAACATACTCGTAATACCTGCCCCAGTGTTATCTTGTTGCCCAAATACATACATGTATGTACATATGTAGTACATATTTCTGTGCATAGTATATGCACCAAAAATAATAGAATGTCTGTAAACATTTAGAATCCAAATTGTGTGCTTTCAGCACGCGCTCGCCGGTAATCGGAGTGCGCAGGTGATTTTCGACTCCCAGATACATATGTATGTATGTACATACATTTGTACAGAGGTGCAGACAGATATCGGACGAATGGGGAGCGGGCCAGAATACTCGTATGCCATCGTATTGCTGCAATCAGCAGATCCGATGTCCGTTCTTCGAAATATAGTGTATGTTTAGTAGTGTGTGTGTGTGAGTGTGTGGCATCTGTTGGGCTTGGTTGGGGGGGAGGGGCGACTTGGGGAGGCGTACTTGACACGGAATGCCATCGATCACAGTCGAAGTCGGCGCCAATGACATGAGAATGTCTAATTGGAAATGCAAATGGCATTCCTTTGCATATTATTATTTGCTTTTTATAAATAGGGCGTTATCCCAAAAACGTGCCTGGATTGGGAATCCAAGTCACTGTGTCCTATGCCACTGGGCTGCCACTGCTTGGGCTGCTGTTGATGCCACGGCCGGGGCACCCTGTCTCTCGCACAGGGCCACAAATTATAAATGGAGACAGCTCAAGGATTGTTACCGAGATAACGACAAAATTATTGACTGACAGTTCTCACGCTCGCTCGAGCGGGAGAAGGAGACGTAGAGCACCGAGGGCTCGTATGAGGAGCGATGTGAAAAGTGATCCCAACGGCAAGAATAACACTTTAAATACTTCTTCACACTTTGTCATCATCAGGCAGCTTAGTGGCATTGCCAAAAAAGAAACCTCTGCTCTGCCTGGGTCTGGGCCTGGGTCTGGGTCTGGCCAACACCGACACCAACTCCAATTCGAAAACGCTTCTGACCGTTTTCTGTTCTTTTTTGTTCTCCTCTGGCTTTTCGCTGAACGAGCCACACGAAACGAAACTCGTTCGTACGTCGGGCAGATGAAACAAAAACAAAAATGATGGAGAGACACAGAAGAGGTGGGGGTGCGGGGCGGGGCGGGGCGGGTCGGACCTGGGCCGGCAAACTCCCGGCCAAGACGAAGTTGGCAGACAGCGCGGCGGCAGCAGGTTAGGTAGAAGTGGTAGAAGTCACAAGCTGTAGTTGAAGATGGAAGCAGCAGCATCGGTGGCAGCTTCTTCTTTGTCTGCCTTTTGGACAAGCCCCAGCCGAAGAGGCACTTTTAATACCTGGAATATTCAAGTGTTTTCTTGGGATTACGAAGTGCTGATCATTTGTATGCCTTAGCGGAATGGAAGTGCAGCCAGGACTTAAAGCAAAGCTTTTGGCAATGATCGATCCACTCAACCATTAGTCAGGATATCGATACTAGTCGGTACTATACTACGATAGGTATGTTATGTTTTATCTTTTTATTAAACACTTACTGTCTGCTCCAGTCGCCGCTCCTTGGACTGATCGTCACTCTTGCCGGCCGCCGCCATGACCGCCACGAACAAGGTCAGGAATAAACATCGCGCAAACATCTCAGTGCAAGCAATTTTAATTGTTTTAACTCTTTTTTTTTTGCGGCAAAGTGTTTGTGTGTTCGTGTTCACAGTTAGAGCCAAAAATGACTGAGGATCGGCATTATACTCAAATATTCAAATATGCATTTATTTCACCGTCAAACTTTTTTTTTGCAAAGTCGCAATTAGAATTTCTTCTCTTGTTGTGGGTGTGTGGGTGTATGGTGTATGGTGTGGAGGAGGAGATAGAACTTTTACTTTAGCGCTTTATTTATTTATCGATTTCCGTTGGCTATTTATAGTAACTGTTTCTACACCTACATACGTGAACGTATATGTACATATATATTGCACGTGTGCATGTGTGTACGTGCATTAAGGTGTTGTAGATCTTGTTTATATAATGGATTTCTGCTTTATATGTATGATTTTGCCGTTGTTTCGTGAAATTTCAAAAACCGTCCGAAAATAATCAAAAAACGAACTGAAGAACCAAAACCAACCAACCAAACGGTCTCAAAGTTTTCTGTCGACTGCGACTGGCATCCAATCCACCAAGCTGTTGAGGAGTAGAGTAGCCACCGTTGCCGACGCAGTCGCCGAAGCAGAATATAGCCGGGCCGGCCGATACGATACTGCTGAGGCCTAAACTGGCCACAAAGAGAGCGAGAGAGAGAGAGACCTGCCGTACCGCTGCCGCATATGAATGTACATGTGTATGCATGTGTGTGTGAGAGAGAGGATCGGTCTGGTGGCGTGCAGCGCCGCCACCGCCGCCGCATTGAAAATCGACAATGTCGCCACAATGTCTGGCGTGTCTCTGTCTCCGCCATATCTTATCTTTTACTTTGCTTTTGCCTTTTAGTGTGTTTCCTCCCCTGACACAGCCCCGCGCCCGAGACTGGACAGCAGAGTGCAGCAGCATAAAGGCACACACACAAACACACACACACACACACACACACACACACACAAACACTCGCACACAAACTCTCGTACAAGCAGAGAGGTGAGAAGGCATGCCGCAATGTGTGTGCGAGTGTGAAATTTATGTTCCTTTGTACATCTCAAGAGGCTGCCTCACCAAACATCTAAAACAAAAAACAAAAACCAAAGCAACAGTTGGTGGGATCACAGCACCAGCTGCTGTGCCCGCAGAGGTAGAGCTGGGGGAGGAGTCGGAAAGGTAGAGATGGTCCGAAGGAGAGGAGAAAAGGAAAACGTGAGCTATATACTCGTTGAGCTCTGCTCCTGCCGTCCGTCCCACGTCTGTGATTTATAGAGCTGGTGGTGCTGCTGCTGCTTCGGCTGCAATCGAAGGAGGCAGGTCCCCCGGTCTGCCGATCTCCGTTTCGGTGTGAAACCTGCCAGACAGTCTGACGGCGGCGATAGCCGACCCTCTCCTCTCAGGCATTGTTTTCGGCTGCCCCCCTCTGGTTCCACACTCAGTTTTGTGGTCTTCTTTTACGATCGAACATGCCCTGGAGTAGGAGTTGGAGGAGGAGTAGGAGTAGGAGTAGGAGGTTTTGGAGTACAGTGGAGTGAGAAGACTGCCAGACAGTATGACGCCAAATTCAATACAACATGGTCGATAACAAAGGTAAACAGGCAGCGACAAGGGGCACTTGAGGGCGAGAGCCAGAGGCAGAGCAGAGTCAGACTCTATAGCCCTGCTACTGCTACAGCCCGTGGGATTGTCGGTTCAGCTCGGTTCAGTCCAGAACCAGATGCAGATATAGATATAGATACAGATGCACACTCTCAACACACACAGACACAACACGCCCGACTTATGTGTACCCAACTAATCATTTTGTGATTCTTGTTTGTTTATTTGTCATTCTTTATGAAGAAGTTTTTCGGTCGAATTTATTTATTGTCTTGTGACTGCGTATCTGTATATGAATCTGTATCTGCATCTATGTATCTGCAACCCTTTGGATGGTTGAGCGCTGAAACAGTTCGAAATTGAAGCAATTATAATTTCGACCAGCATCAGCATATGATCAGTACTATAAACAAGATTTGCAATGGATAGGGAATATTTTTAGAGTTTTCTACACCGTTTAGCCAAAAGCTAAAGCGAATTGTAGCCATGTAGTTTATAGCAGTGTTTATTTGTTAAGAAAGGTTCTTCAAAGACGCATGACGAATAAGCTGTCTTCCCTGTTATCTTTAAAGATGGCCAATATTGGCAATACAATTTATAAATGTACCGAGACTTCGGGTTTTCCAGCACATTGTGGATGTATGTACTCTCAATAAAATAAAATCCCCCGAGACGTGTCCGCGCATAATGAAATGACAATGGGGGGGAGTAAGTCACCTAGTGGGAGTCCCTAGGCGAATCGCTAAGACAATACGCAGCGAAGTTTGCTATAAAAAGCCACAGATGCCACGATGGGACAGAACAGTATCAGATCAGATTCCAGAATGAAGTTCATCGTTTTCCTTGCTCTTTCCTTGGCTGTGATGTGTCTGGTGCAGGCACAGCCTCTGGCCGAGGAGCCCATCGAGGAGGATGTGGCCAAGCCCCTGGTCCAACTGATGGAGCAACCCGTCCAGGATGTCGATGTCCCCGAGCACAGTCGCCAGAAACGGGCCACCTGCGATCTGCTTTCGAAATGGAACGTAAAGCACACGGCCTGCGCCGGCCACTGTCTTGCGAAGGGCTTCAAGGGTGGCTACTGTAACAACAAAGCAGTGTGTATTTGCCGTCGTTGATGCTGATTCGGAATGTATTTTAATCAGACATTATGTACACGCTTGGAAATAAAGCTCAGAGAACATTGAAATCGTCAATGAACACGTGCTGCTTGGGGGAAATGGGTATCATTATAGTGATTTCTTTTCATGCCAATCATGATAGCTGCTCAATGAATGATCTCTTATCGCCAATTGGGGATTACAACTTTAAAGCGCGGGGTCAACTGACAAGTTTTGGTAGATGTTTGACAGCAATTCCTGTTGCATTTCCGTTTTGCGGGCAGGCGGCAGCCGCTCTATAAATATTGCGAAACGCATTTAGTGTATAATTCTCTCTTATCAATTAACCGAGCAAGCAGTCAGGGCAGGCCCAGTCCCTACCTACCCCAGATCCCCCACACACAACCGCAACGACACAAACACAGCAAATGAAACACAAGACACAGAAACAAATGCCAAAGCAGAGACAGTGCAAGAGACACTCAATTAACGCCAATTATAGGCGATCTCGCGAGACGAAATTGTTAATAAGAGCATTTATAAATGAACACAGAATTTTGCCCCGAGTTGTGTATTTACGAGCTGAACCAATGATTTGCCGGTTAACTATATTATTCAATTGCATTTATATTGAGCAGCGCAGCGCAAACCACACACGAGCTATTCTCTATTTACACTAAGAACTGAGACTCTTTAAGTTATCAGCACTTGGAAGCCCATAATCATCTCTCTGGCCCAGGCGGGAGTACAGCTGCAGACAGACTCGGTCAAGTGATACATGATTCTTAGGAATATTGCGCAAGTCGCACGATATATGTTGTTTTTTAGCTGTTTTCTATGGTTAGTGGAACTAGTAAATTTTTAAACTCCTCACTGGAATATATTTGAATTTCAAATTCAAACGCCAAATCGCCAACAGGATAATGGTCATACTTAACTAGTATTTTTATTCGTGTTGGAAAACAACGCAATATTTAAATGTAACAAAAATCGATATATCAGTATATTTACGGTATATTTTTAAAATGAGACGGTATATTTCGATATATTTTTATCGTCTATTGTCGCAAAACTGGTGCGCGCCAAATTTTTTTTTTTGACTTCGACACAAAACCAGGTTTTATATAGAAATCCAATAAATGCAAGTATTTCAAATAGACCAATCATGTATAGAATTGATTCATCAATCGTATAAAATTGAGTGGGCATGGCTAAATGTTCTATATAGCTAGTAATATTCAACGGAAGAAAGAAAACGAGGAATATGTATAACAGAACTTGACTTCGTCAGGTCACACTGCTGTTTAGTGTCAATACGAATTATTATTTATTATTTACTTGTCGCGTCGCGCCACCCTCTCTCCGCCCACAGCATATTTAAATACACTGCTGATTAGAGTAATTGGAGCCACATAGTCCACGTAGCTCTAAAGTCGTATATCCCAGAGCAGACATTATCTGTTCGCGCACTTTCAAACCGCTCGCGCTGTGCTGACGTGTCCCAGGAGCGACTATTATTCTCCTTTAATTAAATTATTGTTAAATAGTTCTAAAACATGCTGATAAAGGCTCTGGTATTGTGCTGCCTGGTGGTGCTGGCGCAAGGTTACAGTTTCACCTCGAAGGAAGTCAAGTGCCACGGTAAGAGGCAGCAACAGGCTGATTCGGACCTGTTGACACGCTCCTAAATAAATTTTTTGCAGTGTGCAAGGCCACGGTGATAGAGCTGGAAGAAGCCATTGCCAAGGAGGATGCCAATAAGAAGGTCGATGTGAGTGGCTTCCGTTTGGATGCCAAGGGCAATTCGGTGAGCAAGCGTGTACGCTTGATCAAGTCTGAGATGTTCCTCACCGAACTTATGGAAAAGATCTGTAAGTGCCAGCACATCAAGTCTTAGCAAACACTAATGATTCTATTCCTTCCTGGCAGGTGAAAAAATGGATGATTACCTGAAGGCCACCTACAAGAGCAACGGCAAATTCACACTGCTGAAGATGATAGTCAATGGCCAGATGAATCCTGAATCATCGTTGGTCGATTTCGTGCAAGACGGTGATCTCAACAAGAGCCTGGGCCACTTTTGCAACGAGGTCCTGGAGGACAATGACGAAATCTTCCTGAAGGCATTCCAAGCCGAGGAACTGGGCAAGGATTTGGACATTAAAATCTGCTCAGAGCAGGCCAAGTACTGTGACGAGGCGCCCGTACAGGATGAATACGACTTTGGCGAAAAGGAGGAGCTGTAGAGATTTAGTTATCCTAGTCAATTCCACTAACGAATTTCCATGATCATCACCTCTGTGTTATGCTTGCCAATGGCCTGCGCTGATCCGTACTGAACTTTCACATAAAACTAATATATATATTGTATAGACTACGCCAGTGCTAAACAACTAGATACGACAATATAAATCAAATTAATGTGCAATTCCCTCCATAAACATCTTGTGTGGTTTTATTCGCAGCTCGATGAATGTAAACATTAAGTGGTATAATTTTATGGAGTTTTAGTTAGGCAGACTGTTCGATGGGTGTTCTATGGGCAATTTGTTGTTCGTTTCTTCATCTTTTTCTACTCCGGTTTGCTGCAACACAAAAGTTTCAGTAATTGTTTATATCGATCTGGTAGTACTCACGGTTCCGGAGGTGGTCCACCTGTATTACGGAGCATCTGGTGACGCACAACCAGCCATGGAGCACCAAAGCCCACAGTGCCAATAACAACCCAGAATATTGTGAATCGCATCGGGTTATGCATTCCCTTCGACCAGGGCAAATTCTATGGGCAGCTAGGCTTGTAGAAAATTCGGATAAACACAGAAACCCTTCCTACTTACCGCACCCGGACAACCGCCAGGATAGCCGTGATGGCAAGAACGACTCAACGGATTGCATATATTGCGCACCGAGGTACGCAGTGTGGACCACATGATAAAATTTCTTGATTTTACAAACTTTAAACGTTTAGTTTTTATGAAAAATACGTCTGCTTGCTGACGAGCACTAACTATTATTTAAAGCGTCTGCCAAATGACAAGCGTCGAGAGCAAAAGGCCAGGCCTACTACTTAAGGCTAAGGAAAAAATGTATCCGCTTGGTTTACAGTTTGGGGCAACTTTATTACGTTTCCACTTTCCACTTAAATTTAAGCTGTAACACACTGCACCGCCTGGCTGGACCTTCAAAGCATCTTACATCTGGAAGAACACATCTTTTAGCGAATTTGTTGCAGTTGAAACAACTAACCTTACATTTGTTGCTGCTGCTGGCTGCGCGACGGCCACTGGGGAGCGCCCTACTTCTTCAGCAGTTGGTGTCTGACGATCAGGAAGGGGGAGCCGAAGCCCAGAACACAGCCGATGGTAAACAGGGCGGTGATCCTGTACTTGTTTGTCAGGCCGAAGGGCAGATTCTGGAATTCAATGATAATTTTCCGATGATTGATTTTCCGAAAATTATGTAACCGATGGGTTTTATTGAATTCTTGTTCTCACCTCGCCGGGAACGCCACCATGGCCGCTGAAGCGGACCATGGATTGCGAGAAGTTGCGTGCAATGACACTGCTGCGGCCCAACATTTTGATATTTAAATTTTTCAAGTAAAATTCCAGAAACACAGAACTCGCTGTTTGTGGTGCGCAAATTAGAGATGCAAAGTTTTCGATACCCTTTGCGCTAACATGCTCGGTTGTGTCTGTTAGCGCTCTATCGATATTTACTGTATCGATAGCTTCGATACTATCTAAATTATACACTGCAAAAAATAAAGATAACATTCAATATGTATGGGCCAGACTCATGTGCCGACAAAATAGGAGCAGAATTTCACGCAAAATGGCAACTTTCTGCATACCCTAGGGAAAAGGATATTATAGAATTGCGGAAATGTTTTGTCCATATTGATTACACACTTAAGTTTTATTTGTTTGACCTTTTCCGCTAAAACCTTTTTTTAGGCAAAATCCAATAAAAGCAAGTATTTAAAAGAAACCAGTCATGTAGAAAATAGTTTCATTAATTGGATAAAATTATGTGGGCCGAGCTGAAAGATTTATCCAGCTTGTAATATTTCTCGGAATATCAAAACCGATGAATATGGTTTTTAATCCTTGACGCAGAACGATTAACCCCTTGTAAGCGAAGAGGTTTAATATTCCACCGAAAATAATAAAAATTGAATAATTATAGCGCAGTCCAGGTAAAAGATATCGTGTTTTTTAAGTTCAGAGCAAATACGGCATAGATCTGCAAGAAGAATTAAAAATCAGTACCTCAAGTCGTTGAAATGTTTTATTAGAGGGGGGTTAAGTGGGCTTAGCTCGATTTCTTATCGATATACGAGACGCTTTATTGTTGTTGAGGCAATCGAATGTTGTAGAGCGGCCATTTTGACGGACGAAATCATACATATAGCAAACATAAATAAATTCGAATAATTGCACAAAATTATAAGTGAACGTTTCGCGGCGTCGGCATATACACGCGGCCCAGTAGGAGGGTCCCATCGTTCGGGGCGCTCGCGCAAAGTGTCTGTGAATCGCTACATAAAGAATTTTTCCATTCGCAAGAAACACCGAACTACTGTGAGAATCGCACAAATGAAGCAGTGAGGAGTAGAGTAACAGACAAGACAGCTACAAGACAACAAGGAGAACACTGGCAAAATGCTCGAATCGCCCAAATTTATTGAGAATGATTTATACAATGGGAGCCATGCCTTTACCTGGCTGGCTGACATGGTGGGGCTCTCTGTTGATTTGGTAAGTTCTTATAACTCTCCGCTCCGTTCCTCACATGCCTTCTAAATCAAACGGGTGTGTGCACGTGTGCGTGTTTATCTATGCTTATATACGTGCATAAAAGTGTAAGTGTGTTTGTGTGCTAATAATCCAGACAAAGCCTAGTATCTTTTGTATCATTTACGCCAAGAATATTGATACTTAAAAGGTATTTGTATCGGGTGCAGTGTTCTTGACGTAATGCATTGTCTTAGCAACGAAATAAAGAAACTGTCAATCAAAACGAAGGCTCATTATCCCGGTAATGGTCCAAAAAAGGTGGAGCTGTCCAAGTTTTGGAAATTTTGGGCGCTTACTAGCCTGTGTATTGTTTGCTCGAGGTTTTTTAAGCGCGAAATTGACAGCTAATTGAATTTTAGCTGTGCTCCATAGTGTACGCCTTCCTCAATTGGACTGCCGTTTGAAAGAAGCTACAACTACTTGTGTAAATTAAAGTTAGATTCATGCAAAATGTGTATGATTTTCGGTGTCCCACTTTCTTATCAGGGGAGGTGCGGCTGCTGACAGTGCCGTCGCCAAGAATAATCTGTGTAATTTTCCACGCTGTACGCTTTCAATTTAGAACAAAAGTAAACTTTACAAAATGCACCGCCGTGACATTTTGTACATTGGACTCGTCTTGACGCATCGTTGGTTTCGGCATAGTTAAAGATTTTTGCTTCATTTAACAGAGGTATGAGTGGGGAGGCTGGTACGGGGATGTCATGGGCAATTGATCGCCTGAGTGTCTCACTAATATATTCACACTCTCTACATGTGTCTGATTGTCCCGTTCTCTCACCCGATGGCCGCAATGTCATTTGCATAACGGCAACTACATAGGTAAAGAGCGAGAGGGATACAAAAGTGATTCATTAAGTGCATTTGTATGCATTTACCTGCAGCGGTTACGGCCTGGCCCAAATCCGTTAAAGACATATCCGCTGGCCCAGCAAAAATGATGGCATACACGTAATCTACTCTACTCAGTAGTAATATTTTCAATGCTGATGACCTAATACCAACATCCGATGTAAAGCCGTCCGTCCACACATGTGTGTGCATGTGTATGTAGTCCGTACATATGAGCTTATATAGTGCGAATTTGGCTGCTAGATACATAGACACATACACAAAATGGTTGATTGCCCGTTGTCTTTATCAAAAGATACTTGAAATTCAATTTAACCGACTTCTTTCATGTCTCCTACACTCCACTCCACTCCCTCCGTGAAGAGCTCCGCGATAATTGAATTTTTAGCGCTTCTTTTGTTTGCAAACAAACGGCAGCAACAGTAGTTGTGAGCGAGCTTCAGCGACATACATACGTATATGAATATACGTACATATGTGTGTGTGCTCTCTTTCGCGCTGATATTGTCGCCTCCCTAGACCCCTACTCAGCTCCGCTCATGACTCATAGTGACAGGGTGTCTTGGGAACGATTTAACTTCTTTGTGATGTCAGTGGGTGGGTTGGGTCCTTGGGTGTATGACACATTTGGAAATTAGCAAGAGCTCACGATTAGACGGCGGGCTATTAGCAAGAAATGTTTTATTAGTTTTATTATGAAGGCTGAAGCACGGAAAGCGAATGCCGGTGAATTGGCCAATTGTTCGAGGAATTGCCTCATCCCGAGATCATTTATAACGAGTTTGTGTATGTCTTTCTATGGCATTGTACTGCTTGCAGTATTTATTGGTGCTAATGAGCTGTTGCTGCAGGCCCGGCCGGCCAATGGCGGCATATTTTCTCAGCCCATAAAACTGTTTGTTTTCATTTGCTCTCTCGCTCTTCTTACTCTCAACTCGCCTCCCACGGGGTCGCTCTCCCCTACATGCACCACGCTGTCTGTGTGTATGTATTTGCTTTTATTAATAAACAGCAATAAACAACTCATGTTTGTTGTTGCATATATATTTAATATTTCACAACTTTTATATATACATATATGCGCAGCACTGGAACCGGTCTGTTCGATCAAAAAGCAAAGTGTAAAGCAATTGAAATTAATATGTAAATTGAAAATTGTAATGCATGGCGACGGGCCAAAAGGGTTAAAAGAGGAGCGCACCGGTAAATTGACAAAGAGAGTGACGAATAGAGAGGGCGAGAGAGTGGCTAATTGTTGCGCATTGCTCTCTATGCACACTCTTTCTCACTCCCACTCTCCCTCCATATGCATATATTATAATAAATTATTATTTCTATGACCTTGAGTGGGATGCCAGATGTTGTTTGAACTCTGTTGAGAGCAGCATGCGGCGGCTGTTGTGCGGTTGTCACTTGTCGTCTCTTCTTTTTCCCTCCGTTTTGTCAACTGTTGGGCATTTGGTGGCGCCATTTAGCATATAACTGTTGTTTGCATACCCTGTGCTACACTTCCCTAATGGGTATATCTGACATTACATATAAAATGAGCAAACTTGCGAAACAATCTTTCACTCTCGCTTTTGTTCCACAGAGTAACATTTTTTTGCTGCTTAACGATAACGTAGTGCGTTCTTGATTCTTTGTTCTTTGTCCTCACCTTCTTGTCTTCTACTCGTACTCTTTACGAGTGCTTTTTATCGTATGTTCGCATTGGGAACGATATTTCTGTTGCTGCTTTTATTGTTTTTGGTTTATTTATAGTGATCACGCCACTTTTCGGTACGCGCTTGTTTGGCACACTGCCGCCCCAAAACGCTTTTGGGGTTTTTTCAAACGATTTATGCTTATATTTCCATTTGTGGTGCATGTTCGTTGCGTGTTAGCTTGCATTCGTGATTTACCCATAAACATTTTAGTTTGCTGATGGGTTTCTGCATTGGCAGCTCTGCTACAATTTAAGCCCTTGACAGCCCTACAAGGCCCTTGTCTGAAGCTCTAAAGTACGCCAGAGAACAATGGGGTTGCTGCCTTCGTGCGTACACATTCATCCAAGCTGCATTGTGCTCCGTCCGTTGGCCTGGAACTATAGCAACGTCTTATCTTGGCATCAAGCTCTCCATAATTTGCGCACTGAACAGGGAGGGCGACAAGGCGCGAAAGAAGGGCCTTTAAACTGTTTCCTATACCAATGCATGAAATCGTGTTTCAAATGCCGCCCTCCGATTGCAGCGTGTCAAAAACATCTGACAATCGAAACACTGGGGGCTTCCTTGCCTCTGCGTGCCCAGAAATTCAATATCAGTGTTGAAATTCGATTGGCTCACCTGAGTTTATGCTCAATTTACTTATTTCACCTTGAGCGCTGAACAGAGACTCGTATTCGAGGTCGCCAGAGAGGCCCTCAGAGAGGTACGATGTACATATGTGAGCTTGGTTTGGCACCCCCCCTTACCCTTCAATCTGAAACAAAAGCTGAAACCATCCACGGCGGCAAGCAGGCAGATGATTTCCTTCCGCATATCCGGCATTTTTCATGAACTCGGGTTGGTTCGGGCCCGGGCCCTTGCGCAGATGTTGGTGCTCTCCTGCTCTAATTCCAATTCCAACAAGTCGCCGACCACCCACTTGTTGGGGCCTAATCCCATCCGAATGCTGATTCCACTGTATTTCGACTTGAAATATTATTCTTTAGCAAGATTTTCCTTTCGTTTGCTTTTGCTGGCTAACCGGTTTTCGCCAGCGTATTGCCAACTCGAATAATTGCGCATGAGCTCTTTGGATGGCTGGATGGATGGATGATGATTACAACACTGCGTATTTGTATGGGGATACTTTTTCCTCTGTGGCATTTCTGCGGCGTGCATGCACATTGGTCGGTTAATACACACCTACATATATACCTTCTAATCAGATCTGTAATACAACATCTTTACTCGGCATTTATGAAAACAACACCTCAAACGAATTTATCGTCCCACAGTATATGTAGCTTATCGCTATGACGGAGGCCCTCGCCCATCAGGCCATTGTCGCTTTGTCTTTGACCCATGGCGCGAGGAGGTAGATAACTACATATGACGTGGCTATTACCACTTTTTTAATATAGATCTAGATAATGTGTACCATATCTTAGATATCTACGTACATATGTGCAAAAATACAAACATTTTAAGTATACGACTGGCTCTTATCGACAGTCCGACGTGTACCTTGGCAATTACGAAATTTGAGAGCAGAACTTGTAAGATGCTAACAAAGTTTGTTGACAAGATATCTGAAAAGAAGAGCAGCAAGTACAGTGCGTTTACCATATGTAGAAGTATGGCGCAATTTGAATTGTGTTCGATATTGAATATTCAATTGAGACATTATCTATAGTTGGCCAAATAAAGTTCAGCTGAAAATCTGTAGATATATCGTTGGTTATACGGTTTTGCGCTGTACTGTTTCTAGATGCTTTCATATATTGAAGCCGTAGAACGTAGGTCCGGATAATAGCCAAGGGAGGAACATTTTCTCTGGTCAGGAATGCACTTTGCAAATTAGTCCGAAATTATCAGGAAATGTATCGGTGGCCCCAGTTACACGGAGACCACTTGAGTCGAGCATTGGACGGATGACTATAAAAGAGCGGTGCAACAGAGAAGATGTTACAGCCCCGAACCGAAAGAGGTAAAGTAACCAACTGCAGTTAGTTATCCTTTCGAGCTGCCTGAAGTTATCAATGAATTTTTGTAAGTGTCGTAGCGGCAGGTGCACGAAAGTCCTCAGAGTTAACTGATTCAATTTACAGTAAGCCTTCTTCTGCTGGCCCTTGTGGCAGTAGTAGCAGACTCGCACAGAATCGCTGAGCCGCCTGCAGCCCCCCAGGAGCCGTGCAGCACCACCACCCGCCAGCCGCCATGTGAACGGACAACGACTCCGTCACCACCCCCACCCCCACCGTGCACCCGAACACCCCCACCAGATCCACCCTGTGACACAACAACAACTCCGTCACCACCCTGTCAGACGACAACAACTCCGTCGCCACCCCCTCCGTGCACCAGTACACCTCCGCCAGATCCACCCTGTAGCACGACAACTACTCCGTCCCCACCCTGTGACACGACAACAACTCCATCGCCACCCCCCCCGTGCACACGTACACCTCCACAAGAGCCACCCCGTGACACGACAACTACTCCGTCACCACCCTGTGACACGACAACAACTTCGTCGCCACCTCCGCCGTGCACCCAAACACCTCCGCAAGAGCCACCCAGTGACACGACAACTACTCCGTCACCACCCTGTGACACGACAACAACTCCATCGCCACCCCCCCCGTGCACACGTACACCTCCACAAGAGCCACCCCGTGACACGACAACTACTCCGTCACCACCCTGTGACACGACAACAACTTCGTCGCCACCTCCGCCGTGCACCCAAACACCTCCGCAAGAGCCACCCAGTGACACGACAACTACTCCGTCACCACCCTGTGACACGACAACAACTCCATCGCCACCCCCCCCGTGCACACGTACACCTCCACAAGAGCCACCCCGTGACACGACAACTACTCCGTCACCACCCTGTGACACGACAACAACTTCGTCGCCACCTCCGCCGTGCACCCAAACACCTCCGCAAGAGCCACCCTGTGACACGACAACTACTCCGTCACCACCCTGTGACACGACAACAACTCCATCGCCACCCCCTCCGTGCACACGTACACCCCCGCAAGAGCCACCCTGTGACACGACAACTACTCCGTCACCACCTCCCCCGTGTACCCGTACACCTCCGCAAGAGCCACCCTGTGACACGACAACTACTCCGTCACCTGAACCACCCTGTGACACCTCAACTACACCTCCCTCAACCACACCCTGTGTAACTGATGCCCCTCAAGCTTCCAGCCTGATCGAGAAGCTCATTCCCAGGCCTCTGCTAGATCTCTTCTCCGGCTCCAGCATCCCCATTGCTGGCGACCTCGAGTGCAGCGGAAGAGCTGACGGCACCTACCTGCAGGACGAGAAGCACTGCCGCCGCTACTACGAGTGCCTCAACGGAAACCGCGTTCTGCACAAATGCAGAGCCGGCCAGTGGTTCGACCTGGATAAGGGCAAGTGCCGCCGTCGCAGCCTGGTGCTGAACTGTCCTGCACAGCGCAACTGAAGATGACAGGATCGGCGGATATGATACGTGCAACATGTATATTAACGTTTATCCTAACCAACAGTAATCCACTCAATAAATAGCAATAGCAATAGCAATTCAAACTTATTACCAACTCAACTTATCCTCCTGTGTCGTCGCTCCATTTTTGTTCTTTTGCGGTTCCAGGATCTGCTTCAAAAAAGAGACCTAATCTAGCCACATAGTACACACATTTTGCAACGAATTGGTTGGTGGTATATCTGGCCGTATTTACTGGGAATAGTAAGTGTCCGCCTGGAGTTGTTTACGATGACGATTCATTTCTAAATAGAAGGGTACAGCAATCCATTCCAGATACGCGAGAGTCTCTGTGGGAATTCGTGAAAGACCTACCTCTTATAGGAGAGCCTATCTCAGCGTCTGGCTAACACTTATTAAAAGGTTTATCGACGGTATCAGGGATATGTAAACTCATCTACAACACCAAGAAAACCCCGTACTTCTGCCACACCAAAAACATTCGAAAACAGAACATCAGAAACTATGAACACGTTCAAAATGTATTCCACTTTAATGTCGTTGACCCAACAGTAGAGGGCATTAAAATTGTTAATTAATGATAACTTTGCCTGTCATGAAACATTGCTGCAAATGTAGCTCTGATTACAGTCTGGAACTGTTCTGTTTCTACAATAATACCCATTTAAGTACACATGTGTACATACATATGTATGGTTATATAAATAAGTGCGTCGGCAGAACATTGTCCCTGATAAGGCCGGTGACAATGGCCGCATCCGCTTGGCCTTCATTCAACGAATCGACTGGGGGTCCTGAGGTTCTTGGAGGTGCTGGTTCCTTATCGGGTACAAAGTAAATGCGTTTTCAAACCGCTCAAAATCTAATTGAGCGAGTGGCCAGCAATTGATATAAATTATAGGTTTTATATCATGTGCTTGTCTCGACCGACCCCGTTACGAAACCCAGTTCAGCGGGGCCTGTAGCCCTATTAAACTCGCTGTTTATGCATTGCCGGGCACGAGAGAGAATCATAAATTATATATTTGCCAGGGTTCGGTGCTCAATGTCAGCTGGAAGCTGGCAAAGGGCTTTGCGGGAACGATCTGTGCGAGGGAAGCGGTGTGCAAGCAAAGCATTTGCACTGAAAGAAGGCCAACCCACCCATGCCAAAACCAACCCATGCCAACATTGATCACAACGTGTGATCGTGATCGTTGATTCTTGATCTTGATCAATGTTGGCGGAGAGGAATGCTCTTCGCTGATGCCAATTACGGGTGCATACAAGGAAAGGCACGTGCACTCCGCATGTGCTCCGCTGGGGTGCGGATATGACGGAGGGTATCGTATGGCACGAGGCAGCGATGTAACAGAACTGGTTGCGATTCTCGTAGTTGGCGCAATTCCCCTAGATATGCATACGTGTAAATTGTGTGACGTCTTCTCGACGTTTAATATAGGCGTAATTCAAATGTATTCTTTTTCTTTCACTCAATTCAAAAACATGTTCTTCTTTTGCATTGCAGGTAAACTTTTTACTATGCCAAATATCAGCGCTCTTCCTGGCCTCCCTCTTCCGCTCGATGCTGCACCCCTCGAAGGTGTCGAGCAAGTTGCGCCACACATTCGCACTGTCGATAGGTCTGGCCTTTGGCTACTTTTGCTTTGGCCAGCAGGCGATACACATTGCCGGTCTTCCGGCAATATGCTACATAGTCATACGCACCCAAGATCCGCGCATTGTGCAGAGGTAACGAATACACATAGAATCGCTGATTGATTTGAACTCTCGCTAATTTACTGAGATTGCAGAGCGGTCTTGCTGGTGGCCATGAGCTATTTGCTGTGCGTGCACCTGATGCGACAACTCTACGACTATGGATCCTATGCTCTGGACATTACCGGGCCACTGATGATCATCACACAGAAGGTTACGAGCCTGGCCTTCAGCATACACGACGGTTTTGTGCGGGAGGAGGAGGTGAGTTCATCAAATTGAGGTGCACTTCCCAGCAAGGCCAAAAACTAAACTTATTTTGTATGTCATTAACAGGACCTGACAAAGGCTCAGCAGTATCATGCCATTCGCAAAATGCCATCAGCATTGGAGTACTTCTCGTATGTGTGGCATTTCCAAAGCATCCTGGCCGGCCCACTGGTATTTTACAAGGACTACATTGAGTTTGTAGAGGGCTACAATCTGCTGAAGCGTCCTTCCACCAATGTAAGTGCATTTTGTGGTCAGGTCTCTGCGTCACTGCAGTCGCAACTAATGGAAGCTGCAATGATTTCATTAGTGGCCACAAATTGACCTCCCCCTGCTGTCCTTCCTGTCTACCTGGTTGGAAGCAGTAATAGTAGCTTCTCCGCATTGCCTGCCACATTAATTACTCCTGTCCGCTACAGGGCTCTCTGGACAATGGCAAAAGGGAACTGGTGCTGGAGCCATCGCCAACGAAAACGGTGATACGCAAGGTGATTGGCAGCCTCGTGTGCGCCTTCATATTCATGAAGTTCGTGAAGCTCTATCCAGTGAAGAACATGAAGGAGGATGACTTCCTGGAGAACACCAGCATGGCCTATAAATACTGGTATGCCATGATGGCAACCACCTGCATACGCTTCAAGTATTATCACGCATGGCTGCTGGCCGATGCGATATGCAATAACGCTGGTCTAGGCTTTGCCGGCTACGACAAGGACGGCAATGCCAAATGGGATCTAATATCCAACATCAATGTCCTGTCGTTCGAGGTAGGCATATCTTTGTTTTGATCTGGAATCCGTAAATAGTTTTTATCGCATTGTCCCATTGCAGTTTTCGTCGAACATGCGCGATGCTATCAACAACTGGAACTGCGGCACCAATCGCTGGCTCCGCACGCTCGTCTACGAGCGTGTACCGAAGCGGTATGGCACACTGCTCACCTTTGCATTGAGCGCCGTGTGGCATGGCTTCTATCCGGGCTACTATCTGACCTTTGCCACCGGAGCCGTGACGGTTACCGCCGCGCGAATGGGACGCAGACTCTTCCGTCATCGCTTCCAGAGCACACAGCTCACGCGAATGTTCTACGACATTCTCACCTGCCTAATCACACGCATTGTGATGGGCTATGCCACATTCCCATTCGTTCTGCTTGAATTTATGGTGAGGACTCCTGACTCTTGTATGCGCCGTGATGGAGATGATCCCTAAACGGACTTTTCTCTTTCGTTTCTCAATTACAGGGCAGCATCAAATTGTACCTGAGATTTTATTTGTGCCTTCACATCATTTCACTAGTGACCATATTTATTTTACCACAATATATACGCGGCGAGAGGAGAGACAGCTCGCCCAAGAATAGCGACAGCGTAGCTGCCAGCGGCAGTGTCAGGGACTCATCACCGACCCGGGTGCCCCAGGCCGCCAGGGCGGCCCTGGCCGGCGGCAATGATCTCAACGAGGATGAGGACGAGGATAAGCATGCTAAATGTAAAGACAACACACCACAGGTGCTTTTGACAGAGCAACAGCAACAGCATATAGAGCAACAGAACAATGTAATACTCCAATCACAGACCTCACATCACCCACAGCAGCAACAGAAGCAGCAGCAGCAGCAACCGAAGAGTCCAAAGCCGCCGACCAACGCCCGCGACGCGATTAGCGTGCCACACGACCAGTGCGAGATGGACCAGTTGTCCAGCAAATTGAAGGAAAAGTTCGAGGCCGAGACCAAAAACATTGAGGAATTTATTGATAAGACTGTAACGGATACCGTCAGCGGCATTGTGGAGTTCAAGAACGATTTGATGCGCGACATCGAGTTTCCCAAATTGAAATTGCCGGGCGGCAGCGCCATTTCCACGCCACTGGATGCGGCTGCAACTTCAGTGGGACTCCGCAAGCGCAACATATCCTCTGTGCACGAGAATGGACAGTGCACCGATGCTTCAGGTGGCGATACCGCCGAACATGCCGCGGAGGAGAACAGCGCCGCCTTTCTCAAGAAAGAGATTGAAGTGATCAATGCGGTGGTGCAGCAGGCCAACGTCCTCCCAGCGGTGCTCAGTAATGGTCATGCCAAATAGTATCAGCGACCGCTAGAAATTGTGGAGAAACTGATAACCAGCACCAATAACAACGATGACTATGACGAACGAAAGGAGTGCCACGGCAGGGAAGGGAAACAGAGTAGGGCCATGGATAGACCTGATTGATTTATCAAATACGCACACAACACACACAAACACACTCAAATGTAGACGGAGATGCAGACACAGACACAGATCCAGATACACAATGAACACATTTTTTGGTTTCAGTGCAAGGAAGTGTTTTTTGAGTTTAGATCTTTGATCGAATTGAATACAAATTGTTTGAATTGAGGTAACTTTTTAAAGTGGATTAGCCAGATAATAAATATGTGGGTAAACATAACGTTTACCATGTATGTACATTCGATCTGGCAAGAAACCTAACCTACTGAGAATATTTATTGTATCTAAGTGTGTTCCAAAAGTCTAATTGTTGTTAAACAATTTACTCTTATATCTGATTGTTAAAAGTCCCGCCACAGAGCGGCCTACAGTGCGTTTCAAAACGATGACACAGTTGTACACATATCCCGCATCTTCTTCAATATACGATTCAACTTCATAAACTATTCGACAACTGACTGAAATCGACCAGAAGCATTGATCCTATACACTTCCAAACTGTCTGCCATAGCTTTGGGACGCACTGTACGACTGGGTCGTTTAATTAAGAACTATTCCACTATACAGTGCACTATACGCTATACACTATGCACCACACAGTGCAGAAATCAGATATACTAAAGCATATGTTTGCGTGTTTTCCATATAGTCTATGTACCAGCCAGTAAATCAATTTATAAAATCATTATTATTGTAGTGCAAATCCCGCCCGAAGTACTAAACAAAACGAGACGTGTAACAAGTAGAACCAATGAAATCCTCTTAAAGCTAAAATACAAGAAAAAGTCAACCAAAACTTAACTTTAGACTGAAGCTATATTGAAAAAAAGTACTAAGCCAAGGCGACATAACCAGAACAAACACAAATCGTGCGTAGTGCGAAGTTAGTAAGTAAGACAGAATGTTGTTTTTTACACTCAATTTGATTAATTTTTTACGAGTGTGGGAATTTTTGTGTGTGTGTGAAAGGGATATATCCAGCACATCTGTAATCATATGTACTCGTATAATCCTCCTTGCCAGGCCCGGCCATGCCACCCGGTTTTCCTCAGAGTTCTGCTCATGTCCAGTCCTCCACTTGTGTATGACTTCCTACTCTGTAGCTCTTAAGCACACACCTTTTATAACCTATTATCTTGTTTTACCCATTGCATATTTTTGTTAACTCAATAAACGATTTCGCCCCACAAATCCTCACATATACATATACGAGTAAATTATATTTTTTTATATTTATTGTAATACAAATGACAAGGGAAGGCGAAACAGTAACAGAAAAACCACTTTCCAATAGAAGAACTCTTTCGCTTGGCGGAGAATGATTAATGCCAAGCGAAAGCCCTGAAATGCACAGAAAGGCCACATTTGAGAGCCCAAACACTATATACAAGTACATATAGCAAATGCAGTCCAAGAGCAAATATACAAATTGCCTAAATATTCGACAAATAAATTATATATGTGTACGCTTTTCTGTAATTACATTTATTTTACACTCCTATTGGATATATGGATTGCAGCGGGAAACTTGCTAGAATTCCAGACTGCCGCTGATCTTGTAGAAGCCGTCAGTCCCGCTTGATTGCAGCGCGCACAAATGCACGGCGCTACACTTTGCAGATCCGAAGTCAAAGTCCCCAAACCGCTTCAGTATCTCGCGGGCATCGAAGCTGTTTGGGCACTTCAATTCCTTCTTGCGATAGCGGTTGTTCAGCACGGTCATGTGCAGCTTAATGGAATTGCGATCGTTATTATCCGTGGCCGAAAATCCAGTCGTTTGAAAATGGGCCAAGCACCGGTCGGCAAACTTCTGCAGCTCGGGAGCCTCAATGCAGCCGTACACAATGCGAGTGGAGCTTGGATCATCATTCATGATCTCCAGACCCTTTACTTTCATCTCGAATGGAGTAGCTAGATCTGCCAGCATGGAGCGACAGGACTCGAGCTCCTCCAATGCTTTCTTACGCTCGTCGTCATCCAGCAGCACATAGACACCCAAAGTTAGGTGGATACAGATCTCGGGAGTGAAGAGTTCCGTATCGATGCCTGGGAGCTGAGCCTCCAAAATGCTTGTCTGAAAAGTGAATGCACAATAAATGGCTGCTCTGGTGTCCTATCGTCGTTGTTACCTTAAGCTCCAAGAAGCGATTCTGCACTTCGCCAAAGTTCAATGGAACAGCAAGAAAATGCGTTGGACGCATCTTCCTGCGCAGCGAACCAACAAGTGAGCGGATCTGGCGCAAGGCAGCACACACCTGGCTGCGCTCCTTGGCCTTGATCGTCACATTCGATGACGCCTCGTGCTGACGTGGAATGTAAATTTCCGATCGGGTTTCTTCCTCGATGCGACGCTTGGTCGATCCCTTGGCACCAATCAGTCCGCCATAAAATGATCTGCAAGGAAATTGATTCTAATGAAACATAGTTCATGTACACCTGTTACTCACTCACTTGGACACATGGAACGAAAGTTTATAGCCGCCAGAAACATTATCTTCTATCTTGGCGGCGTCCGGGTCCTCCTCGTCATCATCTTCGCCGTAAAGATCTGTGAACAGGAATTGTAATTGTGACAAATACTCTACGGTTCTCACATACCGGGTTCTTCATAGCCCTTGGACACTGAGCGGCCTTGTTTGTTGCCTCCATTCCACTTGTCGCCGCCAAAATCTTCGTGTACTACATTAACGCGATAGCGGCGGTTCTGGCTCATGCCCAGCACAGGAGGCTCCAGAACTTCGCGGCTCATTTCGTTGGGAAATATTCTACAAGAACTGCGTCCTCTCAATTGCAGGGGAAAACCTGAAATCAAAAAGAATTCGATCGACAAAAAACAAGCGGCAGGGCTGAAAAATCTTAGATGACATCTATCGATAGTTTCTGAATGTATGATAGATTGTGAAAAATCTAGCTCAGAAAACATCGATGCTATCGATAGTGCCATCGATAGTTACATCGATGGTTTCGCACGTGCAGTTTGTTGTTTAACTAATTTTAACCAGACCTAAATGAAAGCCATGCCAGCCGCCCCAGCAGCCGTCAGCAATGGCAAGCCCACGGAGCCGCACAAGTCGTGGAAGAAAGTTAACGAAGAGCGAAAGGCACTGAAAAGAGAGCGTAAGCAGGAGAAGCTGCTCAAACAGATGAACCAGACCAAAGAGTCGGAAGCCAATGCAGATGCTGCCGCAAGTGCAGCGCAAGCAAGGATGAACAAGCCCAATCCATCCACTCTGAGCATAGCAGTGCCGGGATCCATTCTGGAGAACGCCCAGTCCGCGGAGCTGAGGGCCTATGTTGCGGGCCAGATTGCTCGGGCCGCCTGCATATTCCGCGTCAACGAGGTGATAGTCTTCGATGATGTGGGCGTGGCGACGGCCCGTGAGACCAAGCGCAGCTACGAGCAGGACGCGGAGGGAAATGCGACGGGCACAGTGCGCAGCAGCTCGCTCCAATTGGCCCGAATCTTGCAGTATCTGGAGTGCCCGCAGTATTTGCGAAAGTACTTCTTTCCGCTGCACAAGGACTTGAAGTACTCTGGTCTGCTCAATCCCCTGGACACTCCCCATCACCTCAGGCAGCAAAGCAAGTTTCGCTATCGCGAGGGGGTTATTAGCGATAAGAAGGCCAAGGACGGACAAAGTTACGCCAATGTGGGTCTCCTGAACGATGTCCTCGTGGACAAGGCCATTGAGCCAGGGGTACGTGTGACGGTCAAAATGGATCCAGCTAGTGGTATGTTTCAGTTTTAACTACCAATAGGTAAAATATACTAATTTCCCTGGAATTGGTTTCCCCACCCCTACAGACACAAGTAGAAAGCAGCGCGGAACCCTGGTTAGTCCGGATGAGCCGCGTCGGGAGACGGGCGTCTACTGGGGCTACCAGGTACGCATCGCCCATTCGCTGTCGGAAATATTCACGAAATCCCCATACGAGAGCAGCTACGATGTAACGCTTGGCACCTCTGATCGCGGCACCAACGTCCATGAGGTACCCAATCGTTCAATTCAGTACAAACACCTGCTCATCGTGTTCGGGGGCCTGCAAGGTCTCGAAGAAGCGCTGGCCAACGATGACAAGTTGACTGTGGACGATCCCGAAATGCTGTTCGACCATTACGTGAATGTACTGCCGCGCCAAGGCTCACGCACCATTCGCACCGAAGAGGCACTGCTGATTGCGTTGGCGTCACTGCAGGAGAAGCTGCAACCGGAACTGGCTGACGTGGAGACCGATCTGAGTGATTTGCTGCCGCGCAGTGAAGACACCGGCATTCCAATGGGACGGGATGCATTGATAAGCAAAAAGCAAAAGAAGCGGAAGCTCGTAGAAGCGCCTGATGAAACGGTGGCAGATGAACCGGCTCCAAAGGAAGCGGCTCCATCTCCAAAGAAAATTGTTCCTGCTCCAAAGGCAGCTCCTCCCACACCAGCAAGGCTGTCGGCAAATCCGTTTGGCGATCCTTCGGCGACCAAAACCTCCTTGGAGGACGACTTTGAAGTGGTATCCACAACAACCGCAGGACCCGCATCCACCAGGAAAACAAACGCCAGCGACAGCGGTGATGATTTAAGTCGTTTCGATTGAGTTTAATATTTGGAATTTTATATTTGTAAATATATTGAACCGTATTGCTTTTACTCCACACATATGAATATGTCCTCGACTTGCAGATGCATCCAAAGCCTAAAGTTGCATTTGATTTTATTGTTTTTCCACTAAGTTGTTAACCATATTATGTACTCTAGATATATATATATATATATTTATGTATATATTCATGTACTCGTGTGTGTATACTGTTCAGGATATTGCAGTGCTTTGTTTTGTGTTGCATAGCTAGCTGTATGCCGACAGACATCGTCTTTGATCGAATGGTTATGTTCTAATAAGTTTCTACTTAAACACTAATTGAATACAGTTTATAGTTTCCAACGCAAATGTCAAAGCAAGTGCTAGTGCTTATTCCCTCCCTCCCAACAATAACATTGTCACATACATCCATACAGATCATCATCATCATGATCTGCTCCATCCATGCACACTTTGATAACTTAAAGATTATTACCTAGCTAATCCCTGGACATACTGTCGTGTCTGGCTCTCTGTCCAACTGCCACTCTTACTGCTCGTATTTACAAATAACAAAAACCTAATTGGTAAATGAAATCACTAAATATAATACGTGGCCACATTGTCGCTTGTCATGATGGGCTATGGAATCGAGTGCAGGAAACGCGACTCCGGCAGGCAGTCCTCGTCCAGCTCGATGCGTGTGTCGCTGTGGTAGCCCAACAGGGTTTCGGAGTCGTCCTCAAGATGTCGTATGGGATAGCTAATGCCATCGCCAAAGCTAAGAGATGTTGGCATTATATTTGAGCAGGCTTTCGGTACAGTATATACATACAATACAATACAAATAATGTTTAGGATGATGGGATGGAAATGTGGGGGTGGGTGTGGGTGGAAATATTCGAGCACGATTAGTAGTTTGTGTGTGTGTGTGTGTGTGCGCGTTGGTGTAATATTTGATTGCATGATGGATTGATAGATTGACTCGGTGCCGTGCAACAGAAGCAAAGCCATGGTAGAGAAATATAGATTTTTGGCAAATTAAAAACAATTCTTTGTGGCTCTTTTAAATATATTTTCCATACTTCTTCAGTTCGTTTCACCCCTTCTTACAGAAATTCAATAAAAGCGAACATATTTAGGTAAAATTATAGCAAAAATAAACTAAACATCATATCAAAAGTATAAAAAGAACTCTACCCAAATCAACTTGCAATAAGTTACCAACTAACTACATTAATTAAAAGCAATAAGAAATGCCTAAATCGTAGATAAAATTCTCTTTGTGGTGCATGTTTCGATTGGATTGGGCTTGCTGAAATCTCAGGTTAAGTCTTGGAGATTGGCTGATATCTACATGGGTGTTGGTGGCGTGGCGGGTGCTTCAAATGAATGTTCTTTCAATAATAAAACTAACTCTAAACGGGGTCACCATCGATTAAGTGAATGTTGATTGGTCCTTTCTACGAATTTGCCTACATTCAGGTCTCGCGTTCATCCCTGCACTACACTATATTGCCCGGTATTCCCTTCGGAATAGTATACATTCTGATCCAGTACATTTCGATATAAACTGCGATGGCTCTCACATGAATGTAAAACACAAATGCATACTAAACGTATTGCTTAAACATTTACTTAGTTGTCTATTTGTAATAGTTGTAATGTTTTTTGTTTCTTGTTTTTTTTGTGTGATATGGTGCCCCCAATGTGTTTCCCAGCAGCCACAAAGGCCACATACATTTGTGTATATAGAGGTAACTTAGTGGTATATAACATACATTTAAGAAAAGAACTGCAACGATGACAGGGCACAAGTGCAACCATTCTGGCAGTTTACACAGATATACAACAAACATACATAGAGATACGTATCTAAAAAGGTTTCGTAGCGAAAGTTACAGGGTCTAGTTGAGTGGGACATCACCATTCGGCTGGCGGAAGGCATCCTTGGGAGCGGCAACAACAGCAGCAGCTCCACTATGATCGCCCACCATATCGATGATGACCGCATCGCCATTGGCATCCTCTGGCAGGGTGCTAAAATTGACAACGACCACCTGACTAGACGGGACTGCTGCCGTGTTGCAGCTTGATGATTGGCCGTTTGCCAAGGGCAGTTCCAGTGCGGGTTGCAGATTTAACGACTTTGGACGGGCCTGGCGCTGCGACTGCGCCTGCGCCTGGTTCTGGCTTCTTACTTGATGTGGATGTTGTTGTTGAGGTTGAAGTTGAGGTGGTTGAACATGGTTATTGGGTGTGGTGACGAGGGGTATAGCGTCAATCAACTTATCTGTTGGATTGCCATCTAACCTGTTGGTGGTTGTATCGCCCATGGCGGCGTATCGCTGGGCGGGGGGCGCCTCGCCGCTTTGATCGGTGGATGTTGGATAGCTGAAGCCATCACCACGACTAGTTCGTAAAAGTCATTTTCCATAAATTGTGGATAAGTAGAAGGTAATTTGTTAAACGAAAGTTGCAAACAGAAATGTGAGTTTTTGTTGTTGTTTGGTTTGGCGTTGATTACAGTTTAGCTTTTGTACTGGTTGTTGTTGTAATTGTTGCTGATGTTGTTTTATTATATAGTTATAATTTTGCACAGGTGGTGTGTATGTGTTAAAACGAATTCGTCTGATTTTTGTGAGGCGTGTGGCTGACTTTTTTAGTAAGCTTTTGTGAGCGCTCAGCATTTTGTAAACAACTGCTTGAAATTCCACTGATCGAAGGAGAATACAATTGGTTAGACAGGGACAACTAGTGTGTGAGAGCACTGCTTGCAAAGTCTAATCCCTCAAGCAGTAGTCAGAATTTCAAGCAGCCGTTAACAGCATTAGGCGCGATATTTAAAATGAGTTATTATTCCAAAGAACTCGCATCTAAGTTTTTTTTTTTAGTAAGGGACTAAACTCTGTTTATGTCACTGGCCACTGGACATTTCGTTATTTACAAAATCACAAACCAGAGAGAATCGAGGGGAGGGGAAACGAAATGATAATTTTGGATTTTTCTTACAACTAAATTACAAGAGGATAGGACAACATTCAATTGTTGCTTTTTATTCTCTATATTTTTAAGGTATAGAAGAGACATACAAAGTTTTGTTTAGTCTACAATTTGTGTAAATTTCTTGTTAGGCAGATTTTGTCTTTTGCCTGTTGGTTGCTTTTGAACATTGAACACAGAACACACATTTTAGATTCAGAATTGGGTTGGGTGTCAAGTGGTGGATTATCTACTTATGCATGAACTTGGGACTTGGAAATGGGGCATGCCTTTAATTTGCCAAATCAGATAAATCAAATAAAACAAAAGCGCACAAAAACAACAACTAATGATTAAGCGAGTCAGAGTTTTTAGATCTCGGGTGCAGCACATTATTAGTAGTAGTATTAGTAAAAATGCAAATGAGAATGTGCGAGTGCCAGCCCGGAGTCTGGTCTTAGATGGGAATAGAGAAAAAAGGCGACGCGATGCGACGCCCACATACCTGGTGAAGATGGGCAAAGGCCAGTACTGCCAGTCGTCGCCAAACACCTCACAGAAGTTGGCATAGCGGCCCAAATTGAAGCCGTTCTTGTCGGGGCCGCCGACGCGAAAGACTGGAGCTCGAAAAGACTCTGTATAGAGGGATTAATAGGCAGTTATAGTTTTAGTTTAATCACGCCCGGTTCTCTACTCACCTAAAGTGGTGCGATTGACCAGAACCAAATAGATGTGATAGCCAAACAGGCTCACCAAACTAATGGCAAACATGATGGATATAAAGAACAGGAACAAGATGTGAAAACGGCCCACGCCACTGCCGTTCAATTGGCCCTGTTCCGAGTAACCATTATTTTCGTACTTTTTATCAGTAAGTACAGGTAATATGTAGACAGTACAATACAGTAAAACGGAAAAATTCGTTCATTAACTACGGGCTCTTCATGCAGTTTGCACGGCACGGATGCATGCAAGGATAATAAAAAGTCTAAGAGGTCGAAACTTACGGCACCTACCTTCCAGAACTGAACGAAATCATGCAGAGTGGTGAATGCAACGTACAAGCAATAGATGAGCGCGTACCCCAGAAACAATACAAAGAATTTGTAATTGTAAAAGTTGACGCAATTGTTCACCCAGGGGCAGTGATGATCCATCTTGAGCACGCAGCTATTGCACACGCTGCAATGATGCGCTCTGTCCGGCTTAATGATCTTACACTTTTCACAAAACCGGACAGAGCCGTTCATTGTGCTACAAAATACAGATTTCGTCGTTAGTTCGCTAGTGTTGATAGGATTCCAAGTAGAAACCTCCTTCCTCACCGATTGGTTACTGGCAAACTGCGGGCAAAGCTGTTCAAAATTCGTTTCTGCGTCTCTGGGTTGTCGGCACGAAACAGTCGCGTCACTTCCTCGTCTGGTATCCGCCACTAGAAACAATCAAACATCAATTTCTGGTCAAATTTATGATAAACTTGAACGGGGAAAACGGGGTAAACCCAGCCCTCCCCTCCCCAATGCACTATCGCAAAACAAAACTGCTTTCGGTAGGCTGCCGCCGATAAGACCGGAGCGTGTGAATCACACATACAGAACTCACTTGATCTGGCACTCGACCAACCGATGTCATTATGGTTCTCCAGTAGGACCACATGAACAGTATCAGGGCAATGTGGTAGAAGAACAGCATTAAAATCATCCCAACGAGGTTCTCGGAGTTGCCTGAAAGGAGACCAATCCGATCCAATGCAATTAATGAATGAGGGACAATCCAATTAGATCGAGGCTACTCACGTATGCAGAGCTCCACCACATAGGCATAGTAGGACCAGGCAATGACGGCGGTTATGAATACAACCGGAATCCACTTGAACACAGCCATGCAGAATCCGCAAGGTGTCTTCCTCCGCCGGTGATCGTCGTTGCCCATTCTATTGATGCAACCAAATACGTTGGCTGCCACTACACTACCTCGATGGCCCAGTTGTCTTCGGTCGTGGGGACAACTTGTGGGGCTGCTCTACGCAATGGTCGCAAAGGTCTGCGGTTAGGCGGTGGTTGGCGCGGGGGCGGGGGCAGTAGCGGGAGGAAACGCACTCTTCCTTATCTTCGCTGAGTGTTGTTATTAACTTTTTTTTGTGATTCACTGGGAAGCTAATTGCCAAACACAAACACTCATAGATATGAGACGAAGGGCTTTACGAAAATCTGCTGAAGAACCACACTATTGCTTTCTTCCCCAGATGGGCGGGCAAGTGAAAGTGTTGGCCTTAGCACAACGCCATAGCCTTCTGTTTAATTTTAATTTTAAAACTCTCTCTCAAAAACCTTCGTCGCCTGCTCTGTGGACAGTGTGACCGCGGATAAAATATACAGTCTGATCCTAAGAAAAATACGTCACGATTTTCAAGATATACCGTAAATATACTGACGAATTATTTGTAATCATAACTGTATCATTGAATCTACACATCTGCTACATATTAACTACATTTTTATGTAATTACCAAAAGCGACATCTGAAGGGGAAATGTGTTAGTTTCATATAAGCCCACTCGAAGCGCCAGTGTGCAAAATCTGCGATACACTTTTACATTTTACATTCGCCGCAGTTCGCCCCAGTTCGCTTTAGCAACAATGAGTCTCATTCCATACACAAATGTTGCGCATTCCATACACAAAAGTTGCTGCAACATTTACTTGAAACCCGTTTTTTGGTCAAAATAAAATACATAAAGGTAATTAAAAGAAGCAATCTTGTAGAAAATGCATTTATCTATGGAATAATGCTAAGTGGGCAAATCTATATAGCTTGAAATATAGGCAATATCCGATTCGCCGCAGTTTCGCTATTGCAACAATGAGTCCCATTCCATACACAAATGTTGCTAATTCCATGCACACATACCCTGTGGCAAATGGATGTTATAGAATTGTGAATACGTTTGTCTTCCAAGGCTCAGGATCGAGATAAATATATACAAGATACTAATAAGCCACATGAATAAGTTAAAAACATATCAATTTGAGAAAAGGTCTTAATAAATTACGTTTGATCTTCATATAAAATTAGCGAAATAGGGTGTACAAAGGGCTATACACGCATCACGTCTTCAAATACCAGCAACATTGCGATTCTTTTTTGGTTGGACTTTTTCGTTTAACCCTGATTACAATAAATACAATAAAAGCAAGGATAAAAAACTATCCAATCTTGTAGAAAATTGATTCAGCAATCGTATAAAATTATGTGGGCATGGCTATATGTTCTATATAGCTAGTAATATTCGTCGGAATAAAGAATTGAGCAATTGGAATGATACTCGTTTGTTTATGCTACTGTTGTGTGAACATAAGTGCTTTGTGCGTCTGCCTACAGTGGCTTCAAATGACAGTAAGTCCTGATGTCACAGGGCACTCCCAAAAACCGCCGCTGTTCCACGGCTATTCCGTGCTTTCCACCTTCTTCGCATTTACAGTTAAAGTCGAGCCACAGAGTCTGCAGCGATGCCGAAACGACCAGCGGCGCCCTTTGGCGCAGTTGTGGCCCACTACTCCCTGCCTCAGCCACCAGAAGACGAATTTCATAGGAAAACAATTGAAAAAGGAGGAAAAAGAACAGACCCTGGACGGCATCTGGACACCGGGTTCTTCAGGATTCTGGCGTCTGGTGCGATGGAAAGACGTGGGGAATGGGGCATGTTCTCGCGTCGGTCCGATGCGGAGGCTCATCTCATCGAGATCACCCGCGTGGATGGCAGCCGTCGTGCTTTGTGGAAGGGGGGTGGAGAAGCCGCGTTCCCTCGTCCTCGAGACGCGTCGCGGGTGCATGTACTTGAACAGAGTCGCCTCGGACTCCATAAGCCGCGCCACGATGGACGAATCCGAGCTGCAACCATAACCGGGAGCTCATATTCCTCTACTGGATGGCTAGGACTACTGGAGCGACTGGAGCACCGGGGACTTTGATCAAGACTGGCCAGAGCCGCAGCCTCGCTAAGGACGTGGCCTGCATCCCTCCCAGCTACGACAGACTGCCCGAATTAGCTGCTGCCGGTGTCCGGCAAGATTATCCGTGCCCAGGTGGAGCTCTCTCTCCCTATTCAGCTGTGTTCTAAAACGTTGCCTCTTATAGCTTCCTGGGCGAACTCGCCGAAGCCTCGAAGCGTCTGCTCTTCTGGACAGATATCAGCAGCCATCAGGCCATCATTCGGGCCCGAGTCGATGGCAATGAGCATGTGGACCTGGAAGAAGTCACGACTCTGGCCTTAGACCAACAGTCCGATATCCCATGCGTATCGATGTTAGTAAGCAACCAATATTGGACACCTTTGGACACTTGTAATCTCCTGTTCCCCCTTTACAGAAAAATCCGTGCTTCCATGCACATCTCGCAGGTCTCTGCCTTCGGGAGATTTGTGTCGGACGATAAGACCGGACTGGAGAGGAGCGCAAGCACACCTGTCTGCACAGTCGCACAAAGTGTTTCCACATCTGCATGGCCAGCGGGGTATGACACGCAGTATTCACGACGTATGCTCGTGCCAGATTCTGATGCTCTGATGCTACTGGAGGGCAAGGAGAACTACGGCGTCTATCCGGACAGATAATTTTAAGTGGCGGGAGTAGTGACATAAAGAACGACTGTATATCCGCCTTCTGGCGCTGTGACGAAAGGACTGCCCGGCGGATCACTTCAGCTGACAGTCAGCCGAGGGCAGAGACAAGGCTCTGATCTACCATGGTACCACCTTTAACAACTGAGACAATGTCCACAATGAGGCCGACTGCTGCAAGCGGCCAGGAGACTTTCAGTGTCCCATCAACCAGGTGAGTGGAAAGACACGATATCTGCCCAAATTCTTAAACTAACAATATTCTACTCCACCTTCCCACAGCTTTGCATCGGCCGCCCTGCTCTGCGATGGCCGTGCCTCGGATATTTTCGCGCACCGAACCAAAAATCGAGCTTTAATGGCTCCATCGAAGAAATTAAGTAACTAGACTTAAGACCGCTAGACCGCTTAGAAATTAAAGACTTTAAAAATTCAATAGAGAACCTGCCGGCTATGCCATATGAGGTGCAACGCGACCAAGCTGCGGATGAAGATGGAGCGAAAGACTATGGATGAGTATGCCAGGCTACTACTACCACAATGCCTTCTACAAAGACCCAAGGTCCGAAGGCGACACCAGTTTAAGGTACGCGCTTGTCCCCAACGAACGAAGGACAAGTTGCTCAGTATGCCAAAAGCGGAAGAGGATGATTCGCCCGAAGAGTTTCAGCATGAATAGGCAAAGTAAGTATAAGTACCACCAATTGTATGACACATTTTTGGCTAATTCTCGACCATTGACAGATTGGGAAAGTTATTTTCTCCGGTAACCTTCTACGCCTTTGCAAAGTACGCGGACAAGGAAACAAAACCGAAACAAATAAGCACGGAAGAAGTCAAGCCTTCTACATATATTCCCTGAGGCAAATCCTGCTTTTATGGCGAAGTTGCTAGCATCTGGCTATCCCGTTAACGAAACAGCAGTCAAGTTTTTAGCGGAGTATGGTCGGAGAGGCATGGGGATCCGTGTACGTCGGACCAGATAGAGCTACGTCGGAGCTCAGTTAAAGGTTGAGCTGGCCAACGCTTTCAGCAATCTTGCGGGACCGGATTTATTTATTTATGGTAATAAACTCATTCCACACCACCCAAGAGGTCGAGTTTTTGGCGCGTTTTTTTTAAGTGGTATCCCCAATAGGCCTAATCCACTATATTTACTTTTAGGGCGGGGCATCGATCGTCGGGGTGTCTGAAAGTATGAAGTTATTAACAATAAATGTAATATTAATCGTCGAATTTGTACTTCGACAGGACCTAGGGCTTCCAGCCAACTTGCAAATTAAGTAAAACTTTGAAAAAGAGATTTTCTACGCGGTTCCTTGAGCTAATAGAGCTAGAGTGCCGACTAAGCGGGCTATAAAATAGAGTGCATCCTCTTGAAATTCATTAGGCTGGCTAATGTGGGATGCATAATCTACAATGTCCGCCGCAAGCCTTTTAATGATGAAACCCATTGCTTCGAGCTTATTGGAATTTATGTCCCTTAGCTCCAATGGGGTTGCGCGCGGAACCAAAAAAAATTTGTCAACCATCATTCTGATGTTGAATAGCTCTGTTGTATAATAATCATGATACTCCGTGGGGACTATTGGGTGATAATCTGGCAAATTATCAAAGACGTCCCTCCAATTCGTTGGCGTGAAGCTCGAATTGTATAAATTTCTAAGAATGATATCGGAGAAGGGCGCTTTTTTGCTGTTGTAAAAAATCCTATCTAGATGGGGGAAATCCCACAAAGCTGGAAAGTTCCAATTGGCATTTGAGACGGCTAGCCCATTGGCTGGGCAACCATCGCAGACAACAGCCATTAGGTTGTCTGCTAGGCCCATATCCACAGTCCTTTGCAGGACGATACTTAAGGCCGCGTTTATTTTTTTTAAGCCCAGTTTAGAACGGGCACCATCAATCGGAAGTGCTTGAGCTATGGGCACCACACGCAAGTAAATGAAACGGAAGCTAGTTCCGTCCACTTTGAAGCCAGCTATTGCTAGCACTTTCCAGCGTGGTGGAGATACAGTCGAGAGCAGTGGGATGTGGTACTCATCGAAGATGAGTACAAATGGCTGACCAGTAAAAACCGAAAGGTTTGATAGTAGGTATATTTTTCCACGTTTGAGCTCTTCGACGTGCCCTGGTCGCTCGACATGCCGAATGGCTCTTTTAATCACTACTAGCGGTTGGTTCAACGGTTTTACCGCGTTGAAGGAATGCATAATTTGTTTGAAGCTACAGTACATAGTGACAACGGACTTAAAAGAATTGAAATGGCAGGATCTGAAAAGAAAATCCGGTAAATTTATGTATGCTGCCCTATATACCAAGATATATGGGTGGTGGTGAAGGACGCCATCACAACTTCGTCGAGTGCCATCCTTTCGAGTACGATGGGCGCGAGCCGGAGAAAGAGCTAGCCACCAGCGACAGCGTGGGAGGAAAAGCTTTGCGGCTTTACCGCGCACAGATATTCACCATCAGAGATCACTAGAAAACACAAATGGGACGGACAAAAAAAGTCCACCAAAGCCACCAAATTTTCCACCAAAGCCACCTAATAGTCCACCAAAGCCACCTAATAGTCCGCCTCCACAAACTCCCTCCATAAGTCCAGATCATCATATCAAAACAATGCCTCCAACACCTAAACCGCCACCAAAAGACGACTCTGGCCCAGACTCCGAAATAGGAGAATGGAGTGGAATTG